TCAAAGTCTCTTGACTAGCTCCGGTACTTTATTCCACCGTATACAGTGACCTAAACTGCATGTACCTGGCAGCTTTCCTAGTCCCTCTCTTCCCACCCCCGGCTAGTCGACGACAGAACAAACCACCACCATTCTGTCCGACGGTGGACACTGACATCCATCCCCATTCCTCTGAAGACGCAGACACGTTCGCTCACTTGTCCATCTGACGCGGGTTTTGCTACCTCTTTTCTCTCTTCTTTTTCCTCTTCTCCCTCTTTCTGCTTTCCGTTATCCCCATCTCCCTCATACATTCGTTGATTCGTCGTGTTTTCACCTCTCCTCCTTTCCCTTTTGGACCTTCTTTGCTAGAGACCCTTCTCTCCTTTCCCCTTTGTTCTTGTTCGTTCTTCCCCGGCTTCTTCCCATCTCCCCAATCAAGTCAGCTACCGACCGCCAGAACATCAGATCATACCACCATCTCCACCGACCACCATCTCTTGGGTATCTAGGCCATCATGGCCCTCAATCTGGGTCCCATGGGCGCCGGTGATACTGGAACAGGGCCTCACACTCTGCCCTCTCTCCCGTCTCTGCCCGCCCACCTTCAGTCAGACACCCATCTGACTGCCCACCTCGCCAGTCGCTTCCATGCTTCCCGACCGACGGCCAACCTCTCCTCTCACGGCCTCATCTCTTTTAATACATATACCTCCTCCACCAGGGGTCCCGATGGCGGCACCGAGGGTAGCGCCATGGCCGGCGCCGAGGAACTCGCCAACAGGGCATGGTTGAGGCTCGGCCATCGTACTGAGAACCAGGCTGCCGTCTTCCTGTGAGTTGACCGAATCCTCTTTTATGGTTATCGGTAGAAAAGCAAGGGAGAGAAGCAATATGCTAACCTTGGGTTCCGTCTTTCAGTGGCGAGTCCGGCTCCGGAAAATCCACTATTCGCTCTCACTTCCTCACGGCCATCCTCAACAAGTCATCGACACCACTGTCTACCAAGCTCTCCCACGCTGCTTACGTCTTTGACACCCTCACAACCACCAAGACAGCCACCACCCCGACAGCCTCCAAAGCTGGTCTCTTCTACGAGCTGCAGTACGACACGTCCGTCACCACCAATCCCACTCTGCTTGGTGGTAAGCTCCTGGATCACCGCCTAGAGAGGAGCCGTGTGACCAACGTGCCCACCGGCGAGCGAAACTTCCACGTCCTCTATTACCTCCTGGCCGGCACCAGCCCCGCTGAGAAGAACCATCTGGGTCTCGAGGACGCCCAGCGCTGGAGGTACCTTGGCCACCCCACCCAGCTCAAGGTCGGCATCGACGACGCCGAAGGCTTCCAGCTCTTCAAGAATGGCCTCCGCAAGCTCGAATTCCCTCGCAGCGACATTGCCGAAATCTGCCAGATCCTCGCCGCCATCCTGCACCTCGGCCAGCTCGAGTTCGAGACGGCTAATGACACTCGTGCCAACGGTAATGAGAGCGGTGGCTTCTCTCACGAGGGCGGCAACACCTTTACTGCAGTGAGAAACAAGGATGTTCTTGCCATTGTCGCTGCCTTCCTTGGCGTCAGCGCCGCTGATCTCCAGAGGACCCTGGGCTACAAGAACAAGATCATCAGCAAGGAGCGCGTCACCGTCATGCTCGACCCTAACGGTGCTCGTGCCCACACCGATGAGCTTGCCCGCATGCTTTACTCTCTCGTCGTCGCCTGGATCATGGAGGGCATGAATCAGCGAGTCTGTGCCCCCGAGGAGGACATTGCCAACACGATCTCCATTGTCGACTTCCCCGGTTTCTCCCAGCAGGACGCCACCAGGTCCACTCTCGACCAGCTTCTCAACAACGCCGCCGCTGAGTCTGTCTACAACGTCGCCCTCCACCACTTCTTCGACCGCAAGACCGAGATTCTCGAGTCTGAGGAGGTCAGCATCCCACCCTCCAGCTACTTCGACAACACCGACACCGTCCGGGGCCTGCTCAAGTCCGGCAACGGTCTTCTCAGCATTCTCGACGACCAGACCCGCCGAAACCGTACCGATATGCAGCTCCTCGAGGCCCTGCGGAAGCGTTTCGACGGCAAGAACCCTGCCATCGAGGTCGGTGCCTCGAGTGCCAAGCTTCCCGGAAGCAACTTCTACACCCAGAACATCTCTGCCGCCTTCACTGTCAAGCACTTTGCCGGTGAGGTCGACTACCCGGTCAATGGCCTTATCGAGGAGAATGGCGAGGTCGTCTCGGGCGACATCCTCAACATGATCAAGAGCAGCAAGAGCGACTTCGTCCTCAAGCTCATGGGCCAGGAGGCCCTCAAGACCGTCACCCACCCCCACGAGCGCTCTGCCATCATGCAGGCCACCATCAGCTCCAAGCCTGCTCGTGCTCCCAGTGTTGTCTCCCGCAAGGGCAGGGGCAGAGGCCCCGCTGCTTACCGGCAGCGGCAGCTCAAGGCCATGGAGGCTTTGGAGACTGGAAGCGACGGCGGCGAGTCATTGCCGAACTCGGCGAAGGCCCTCTCCGAGCAGGGCGCTTCCGGCCAGTTCCTGTCGTCTCTCGACAGTGTGCAGAAGGTCCTGAACAGCCACAACATGAACGCCTACTTCATCTTCTGCCTGAAGCCAAATGATCGTCGCATCGCCAACCAATTTGACAGCAAATGCGTCAGAACCCAGATGCAGACTTTTGGAATCGCCGAGATCAGCCAGCGCCTCCGCCTGGTTGACGTTGACATTTTCCTGCCATTCGGCGAGTTTCTCGGCCTCACCGACACGGAGACGATGCTCATCGGAAGTGAACGTGAGCGCACAGAGGTCCTTGTCGAGGAGAAGCGATGGCCGCACAACGAGGTCCTCCTCGGCTCTACCGGTATTTTCCTCAGTGAGCGATGCTGGATGGAGATCACCCACCTCAGCGAAGGTGGTGGTGCCATTGGTGCTCGCAACCTGGGATCGGACGGACAGTCGCCGCAGGGTGACCAGATGCCCTTCTCGGCCTCGAGGGAGAACATCCTGAACTCTGGCAACACCCCGCTCATGTACGGCGAGAAGAACCACGGTGGGTACTACTCTGGTGACGACAGCCGTTCTGAGGCCGGCGCGTCGGCCATGGGCGCGGGCGACATGTTCAAGAACCTCGACACCCGCGAGCAGATGGCCGAGCGGGGTAACGAGAAGAACATGGTCGAGGTCGAGGAGTACAAGGACAGCCCGAGCCGCAAGCGTTGGCTGTTCCTGGTCTACCTGCTCACCTGGTTCGTGCCCGATTTCCTGATCAAGTGGATCGGTCGCATGCCCCGCAAGGACGTCCGCCTGGCCTGGCGAGAGAAGCTGGCCATCAACTTCATCATCTGGTTCACGTGCTGCTTCTTCGTCTTCATCATCATCGGCTTCCCTATGGCCATCTGCCCGAAACAGGATGTCTATAACTCAGCAGAGCTGTCGGATTACAATGGCGCCAAGGGGTCCAAGGGATCCTACGTGGCCATCCGTGGACACGTCTTTGACCTGGGCAAGTTCATGCCGCACCACTACCCGCCGTTCCTGTCGGACAAGTTGCTCAAGAACTTTGCCGGCACCGATGCCAGCGCTTTGTTTCCTGTCCAGGTCTCGGCCCTGTGCCAGGGCAAGGACGGCACCGTCGACCCCACCGTGACGTTGGACTATAAGAGCACCAATATCTCCGGCTCGCCTACCGTGGCCGACGTCTCGGACATCTACTACAAGTATCACGACTTCCGCTACTACACCAACGACTCCCGCCCCGACTGGTACCTGGAGCAGATGACGATGCTCAAGGCCAACTACAGGAAGGGTGCCATCGGCTACACGCCCAAGTACATCAAGAAGCTGGCCAAGAAGAACAACGCCGTCGCCAGCATCAACGGCCGCGTCTACGACCTGACCACGTACTTGACTGGTGGATTGCGTCTCAAGGCCAAGGCGGGCGAGACCCCGCCCAAGGACGACAAGCTGACCGACTTCATGGACTCCTCGCTCGTCGATCTCTTCCAGTCGAGATCCGGAGGTGACATCACCAAGTACTGGAACAGGCTCAACCTCGACGATGCGGCCAAGACACGCATGCTCACCTGCCTTGACTGGCTCTTCTACGTCGCTGACGTCGATACCCGTAACTCGGTCAAGTGCAAGTTTGCCAGCTACCTCATCCTAGCCATCACCATCCTGATTGCGTCCATCATCGCCTTCAAGTTCTTCGCCGCCCTGCAGTTCGGAAGCCACTCGGTCCCCGAGCACCTGGACAAGTTCGTCATGTGCCAGATCCCCGCCTACACCGAAGACGAAGACTCAATTCGCCGTGCTATCGACTCGGCGGCGAGGATGCGCTACGATGACAAGCGTAAGCTCCTCTGCATCATCTGTGACGGAATGATTATTGGTCAGGGCAACGACAAGCCTACGCCTAGGATCGTCCTCGACATCCTGGGCGTGTCCGAAGCGGTCGATCCGGAGCCGCTGAGCTTTGAGTCTCTGGGCGAAGGCCAGAAGCAGCACAACATGGCCAAGGTGTATTCGGGTCTGTATGAGGTGCAGGGTCACATCGTCCCCTTCGTCGTCGTCGTCAAGGTCGGCAAGCCTTCGGAAGTCTCTAGGCCAGGCAACCGTGGTAAGCGTGACTCGCAGATGATCCTGATGCGCTTCCTGCACCGTGTTCACTACAACCTGCCTATGAGCCCCATGGAGCTGGAGCTGTATCACCAGATACGCAACATCATCGGCGTAAATCCGACGTTTTACGAATTCATCTTCCAGATCGATGCTGATACCGTCGTGGCTCCCGATTCGGCAACGCGTATGGTGGCTTCCTTCATGTCTGATACGCGTCTGATCGGTGTCTGTGGAGAGACTGGCCTGTCCAACGAGAAACACTCCATCATCACCATGATCCAGGTGTATGAGTACTGGATTTCCCACAATCTAGCCAAGGCTTTCGAGAGTCTGTTTGGTTCCGTGTCTTGTCTGCCCGGTTGTTACTCTATGTACCGTGTCCGCGCGGCCGACTCTGGCAAGCCGCTGTTCGTCAACCGCGACATAGTGGACGCCTACTCGGTGATCCGTGTCGATACGCTCCATACCAAGAACCTGCTGCACCTGGGAGAAGATCGATACCTGACGACGCTGCTGCTCAAGTACCACCCGACATACAAGACCAAGTACATCTCGTCTGCCCACGCCTGGACCATCGCCCCCGAGTCGTGGGAAGTGTTCCTGTCGCAGCGTCGTCGCTGGATCAACTCTACCGTGCACAACCTCGTGGAGCTCGTCCCTATGCAGCAACTCTGTGGCTTCTGCTGCTTCGGTATGCGCTTCATCGTCTTCGTCGATCTCCTGTCTACTGTTGTGCAGCCCGTGACGGTGGCCTACATTGCCTACCTGATCTACCTGTGTGTGTCCAATCCCGACGTGATACCCGTGACGGCCTTCATCCTCCTCGGTGCCATCTATGGCCTGCAAGCCATCATCTTCCTGCTGCACCGCAAGTGGGAGATGATTGGCTGGATGTTGATCTACATGCTGGCCATCGCCGTCTTCAGTCTGGCCCTGCCGCTGTACTCGTTCTGGAACATGGATGACTTCAACTGGGGTAACACGCGTGTGGTCGAGGGCGAAAAGGGCAAGGTCGTCGTGACGGACGAGGGTATCTTCGATCCCAGCTCCATCCCCCGCAAGAAGTGGGAGGAGTACCAGGCCGAGCTGTGGGAGACGCAGACGGGCACCGGCCGGGCCGGAGACGACGCCCGCTCCGAGATGTCCGGCTTTAGCTACGGCACCAAGGCGCACCCCTATGTCAGCGAGGACCCCTTTGCCGCCAGCCGCTCGGCCTCGACGCTTGGCTTCCACCAGCAGCACAACAACAGCGGGTACCAGCTTCCCGCCTACGACTCCCGTAACAACTCGCGCATGTCACTCGCCAATTCCGAGGTTGGCCTCAACAATATCCGCATGAGCACCTTCAACGTCAACCACAACGCCAGCTCACCTTTCTTCTCGCCAGAGGATCACGCCGATCTGCCGAGCGACGATGCCCTGCTTGCCGAGATTCGCGAGATTCTGCGCACAGCCGATCTCATGACCGTCACCAAGAAGGGTGTCAAGCAGGAGCTCGAGGGGAGGTTTGGCGTTGCTCTCGATGCCAAGAGGGCTTATATCAATAGCGGTACGTTTTTATTTACTCATCTTCCCTACTAATCTGTTATGGATGCATGGTTACTGACTCTTTCCTCACAGCGACCGAGGCCATCCTATCTGGGCAAATCTAAAATACACACATTTTTCTTTTTCTTTTTTTTCGAATCTGTCTTGATATACATGTTCTTAATATGGAGGAGTTTGTCTTTTAACAATCATTCTGATTTAGTATCAGTCATTATCTACCTGTTTTCGCCCCTGCTTTTGACAAGTCACTCTGATTCATCTGTGTCTGGCTTCTGTTTTTCTTTTTGCTTTTTTTTTTTTTGGATTACGCGCACATCAACATGATATACAAAAAAGAAGTAATAATATTGGATGCAAGATGGGAAAGTAATCATCAGCCTGCGTTGTACGGCGAATATACAGTACATATACTACGTGTGGAGGTGCCACTATAGGAATAGGAGTGATATGTATGTACTTGACTCATCGAACAGTCTTTCAAGAGCTACTCGGCAGAATAGACAAAAAATGTAGTCCATTGTAAGAGTGTGCTGTTTGTATAAGATGCTATTTGAATATATCAAGATGAATGAAAGAAATCCCCCCCCCCCCCAAACGCCTGGGTATTCCCCATTCTCACTCCAGATCATCTACGATCCTCTCAACACCGCCTTTACTCCATGCACGCACCCTCTCCTTATCACACGTATCCCAGACCCTCCTGATCAAGGCACGATACACATTGCCGTCGGCATCGGCACCCTGAGCACGGAGCCAGCTGACGATGCCGAACCTGGTGACGAGGGTTGTGCTAGCGCCGGGGATGCAAGTGGCGCGGTAAAGGATGCGCAGGATGCGCGTGCGCAGGTTGCCCCTGAGATAGGGGTTGGCGCCGAGGGCGAGGATCTTCTCGAACCAGCGCTGACGGCGAAAGACGTCGACGTCGGCGGGAGTTACCAGCCCGTCGAGCATGTAACCTAGTAGCCAGGTCAGCTCGGCGTAGTACCTGTCGTCATCGGAGGGTTGGCCGTGCAGTACGTCGTGTGCGAGGGGCACCTTGGAGGCCGGCCAGACGGGGCTGCGCGTCAGGAAGGTATTGACCTTGGCGTACAGGGGGTGGAGCGGGCTGCGCAGCACGTCGAGGGAGTGCGTGGCGAAGGCGATGAGCGGGGAGGGGACGGGCGAGGTCCCACCGTCGACGAGGGGGCGCGAAGACTCGGCCAACTCGCTTAGCAGGAGCCATATCTGCTCCCTCTCCTCGTACGACGACTCCTTCACCTTGCTGGCCATCTTGAGGATGTTGGTCAGAGCCTCCTTGCGGATGTGCACGTGCTCTGAGGCCAGGAGGGAAATCAGCCGGGACGCCCACCCGTCTTCTATCAGGTCCTCGACGTTGCGGGTGGTCCACTTCACGAGGGTGTTGGTGTCGTGGTCTGCCGTGGGGAGAGGGACGCCCAGCCTCGCCTCGAGGTCTGCTGCTGCTGCTGCTTCCGAGGCGGCTGATGACTTGTTGTAGCTGCTGCTGCCGGGGTCGGCGTTGGGAGCGGACGATGAGGCAAAGTCATTAGAGGTGGAGGAGAGGAGTTCCGTGTCGGTTGATTCGACGAGATTCTTGACCGAGAGGCCCGCTGACTTGAGGTGTGTTTGCACTTGTGAGTACAGCGCGCGGACTATGCTGTTCTCATGCCCCGCTGCCGTGAAGTACAGCGGCAGGAAGCGTGCTAGCGACTTTTTGCTCTCATCGTCTAGCGAGCTTGTGGCGAAGGGGAGCTGTTCTACTATGGCGACGTTGAGGAGGTTTATGAGATCCGACGAGGCTGTGGACGAGGCGGAGGTATATGTCCCCAGGAGCTCTAGGTACTTGAGGGGTGACGAGGCGCACCGGCCGAGGCAATTGTCCATGAAGGTCCACACGGTGGCCATGCTGGACACGGACTTGAGGCTCGGCGCTGCCCGGAGGGCCTGAAGCACCGGCTTGAGACCGGCAGACTTGGACACGATCTGGCTCTCCATAGCCACCGTCTCCAGTGCCGCGCGGATCTGCCGCGATGGGGTGCTCTGGTCGTCGCCGCAGAGAAGTCGGAGCAGCGCTGTGAAGGGTGAGGCGTCATTGTCGATCTTGGCGAACCACCGCATGCCGGGGGAGTAGCCGGCGATGGAGACGAGGTTCTCGAGCTCCATGATGCCAAAGGCCTTGGCGTCCGGTGAGACGGTCACGGAGGAGGAGTGGGAGTCGCCGCTGAGCTTGCGCAGGACTTCCACGAGGAGGGGGGACACGTCAAAGTTTGCGGCCAGGGCGACGCGGGGTACGGCCTCGTAATATAGACGGAGGAGACGACTGGCCAGCGTCTTGTGGAGGAGGTTCTCGGTGGGCACCGTCTTGTATAGATGCACAATGTCCTTCATGTCCGGGATCCTCTGGCAGAAGGCATCGACTAGGCGACGGCTGGCGTCTGTCCACGCAGGGTCGAGTGAAGAGGAGTCTTGGTCGTCGCCGCCACCGCCGCCGGCCTTGCCGTGGTGCATGGCAACTGCCTGGGTGAGCTTCTCGAGCGCTGAGATGAGGATGCGTGTGGCGAAGAAGGACGTCAGGTTCGACTTGAGAGAGAAGCACCGGCTGAGCACCTTTTGGTTGATGGGGAGGGGGATAATGTTGTCGAGGAGAATGGACGTGGGTGGTGGGCCGGAGGCATAGTGCGCGCTGTCGCCGAACGATTCGGGCAGCGGGATCTGCATCGTGTTGAAGAGGAAGGCAGCGTATCCGATCCACGTCATCGACAGTTTCGGCTCAAACGTGAACGAACGGTTGTTGAGGAAGTAGTCGGCTACCAGCTCGGGAGCGGCCCGGAACATGGCCACCAGGAGTTGGTTGTGCCTTAGGCTTGACCACGGCTTGAGCTTCTGCGCAAACTCGGACAGGACGAAGTTGTACACGGGGATCTCATCGGCGTACTTGGCGTCCATGAGGGGACCCTCGACGAGGCGGGCGACGCTGGAAGAGGACGACTTCCCGCGGCGACGGCTGGCCGGCGTGGATTCGTCGTCTGACGGCTTCGGGTACAGCCCCGTCGAGGGGTACAGGACGCCCGCGGTGGGCGATGTGCACACGTAGACGAGGAACTGGTGGGCCTTTTCGGCCACGGCGGCCCTGTCCTGCTCCGAGTACGGCGTGCCGGTGCCGTACGTGTACAGGCCGAGGATGCGCACCAGGGTCTTGGTGTTGAAACTCCTGAGCTTGATGTCGCGCGATATGCGCTCGTCCATGAGTACGTGCGTTTTGAGGGAGTCGAGGATCTCAGTGACGACGTAGGGCGGGTCAGTCTTGAGCATGAAGGTGACGTGGGACAGCAGCTCCCTCTGCGACAGGAGTTCCTTGCGGCCGTCCGAGTGCAGGAACTTGAGACAGCTGAGGAGGAAGCGGACGGCGTTTGTACGCACCGACGTCCTGCGCGCGTCCTCGTGCTGTTGGGCCTCGGGACCCGCGATCTCGAGGTTGCGTGCCAGCGAGGCGAAGGTGGAACTGCGTGCACGGAAGATGCGCTTCGCGTAGACCCCGCCGTCCAGGCAGACGGCCTCGCGGAGCAGACGCAGCGTCGGCGATATCACAAAGCCCTTGTTCTTATCACACGACAAATTGCGTGACAGCGACTTGAGCTGCCGCTCCTGGATCAGCGTCTGACACATCCCCAGGCCGTGTGGGACCAGCTGCAGATACCCCGACACGATCTGGAGAAGGAGCGCCAACACCACCGCCACCGACGACATGACGCCGTCGTTATTGACCTGCACTGCGAAGGACCAGGTCTCCATCACATCGCTGAGGTATACAGCCTCGTCGTCAATGTGTCGCGGCTTGACTGAGTCGAGGTACTGTTGCAGTATCTGGAGGCGCTCATCGCGGTGGTCCTCGTCCGAGTTGAATTGGTCGAGGAATTGTTTGAAGGATTGAAGGCCTGAGGGGGGAGAGTGTTAGTTTCCTTCCTTCCTTCTTTTTTTCTTTCATTTCCTTTTCATTATGCTTTGCCCTTTTACAAAGGAGAGGAAAAAGAGGAAGAAAATGTAATATGACATTGTGCATTGGAAAACCCATTGTAACATACCATGCCTTGCTTGACGCAGATCCTGGTCAAAGGCTAGCAGCCTGCGCAACTGATCGCTCGAGTGAATGGGTTCCCCCGTGGGAACCTCATGGACGACTTTTTGGCGCTTCCTGTAGGCAGCAGCGCCGTCGGCCTCATCGACGACTCTTTTTGACATGCTGAGGGTTGATGAGGACCCTGGAGTGTGGGGTTGCTGAGGCAGGCACAGACATTGAGTTTCCTCTTCCAACTTTTTTTCTAAGAACATTGTTGTTTCTCTTGGGAGTTTTTTGGATACTGCCGTTCGCCACCGCCCATCCCACCGTCCGATTTGGGAAGTTGATTCCGGAATGGAAGAATCTATTTATCCGTATAGAAGCTGATTACCTAATCATAATTGCCTACTGCATTCCCATTAAAAAAAAAATGGAGATTGTGCTTGCCCTCTCTTCTGTGTCTCCATACAGATACTTCTTGCTTTTGGCCTCGGCGATTTGCTGCACGACAAGGACAGGGGGGGAGGGGGGGGGGCACCCCAAGTTCCATCAATCATGATTCATGTTCCGATTCCCGTCTGCAACAGAGATGGAGATGTGGATAATAATAGCGCTCTGACGTTTTCTTCTTATTTTCTCGACCATGTCATGCGGCAATACGAGTACCATCATTCCACGGGGATGCCGTGAGAAGCGATCAGCAATCTACTATTCACCAAACTATTGATCTCGTACTTTGCGCGGAGTTTCCGCAGTCCAATCCTATTCTGGCTCAGTGAGACACATAGGGGTGGGAGGGAACAGCCGTTGCGGTGGCGGTGGTGTTCTTGACCTGACACTATCTCTTCTCCAACCACGTTGCTCCTACACGTTCTGGGCATGCGCCGCACACCGCCCTCCCCCCCCCCCCCCCCCCCCCCCCCCCCCCCCCTTCCGCTCCCGTGAGCATGAAAAGACTTATGATGTCCAACTTGTATGGTCACGGTAGTGGGGGTCGGTGCGAGACATGCAGCGAAGAGGATTGTCATCTGAGCTTGGTCGTGTTTAGACGTGTTTGTATCTACTGACTATTACAGCGTAGAGGGAAGGAGATGAAGAAGACGAAGAAGGTCATCGAAACGCGTCAGGCGGCAACAGCAACGGCAAAGGCGTCAGCAAGCACCCGAGCCCAATATGAGGCCCAAGGGGCTGGGTAGCCAGTGCGAGAGCTTAACGAGATCCAAAACGACAACAACAACAACAACAGCTCATAAAAGGCGGGGGGGGAGATAAAAATATCAGGGACCAGGGGGGAGAGGACCTCTCATCTCTCTGAGCTCTCTGCCTTCTCATCCAAGGAAAGGCTGTGACAAGACCTCTTGAGGTGTGGCCTTGTCTGGCAATGCCAAGTCGCAGGTTCGTCTGTCAGAGCACCCAATGGCACGGTCAAACATGACTCTTGGCCAAGGCACTAGGAAATGTCCTGACCGATGCTGGCCAATGCCGACCGTGGGACCTGATGCACAGAAAATGACCCACCAGGCTACGGATGACGGATGACGGAGGGTGGAAAGTGGACGCCCTTGTTGCAGAAACACTCCGATTCAGGATCTGCAAAGATGGGGACTTTGCTCTACGGAGTATTACAGAACCGAGAAGAGTACCTAAACCATGATTTCAGGAGCACAAGTACAGAAACTCAACAAAGGGAAAGGAGACTAGGGCCTGGTTCAGGACAGAGACGACAAGAAACGGACGGCCGTCCCGGTACTCACACACGCACGCACACACATACGCCAATCATTCAGAACCCCCCACAGAAACAACGGGCTGCATCTCCAAAGCATCCGTGACCATTGGACTCGCTGGATGCGCCCGGCCATGTCACGCGCGGTGGGTCCCGAAATGCAATCTTTGGTGTGCGGGAAGCGCCCACGTCCAGAAGAGACTGGAAGGCTGTTGATGGGTGAGCGACGCAATCTGGACAAAGAGAGACTTGCCTCAACTCGTACAGATGTATACTACTTCTACGCGCCCGACTGGTCCGACGTCTGAAAGTCTACAGCCTATCATGTCGTCTCATGTCTGACCTCCATCAGACGTGGGCAGCACCTCGCTTTTGGTCCTCCAGATGGGTCAAGTGATTTGAAATATTATCATTATTATCCTCTTTTTTTTTAATTATTTTTTTTCTCTCGCCAATCTCCTTGTTCTTCTTTGTTGACCTTCTCTCATACAACCTTGGCTCTCTTCTTATTATTCTTATTCTCCCCCCTCCCCCCTTCCCCCCTTCTTCGTGTGGGTGTCGTGTGCCTTGTGTCTCGTGTCTTGCGCGTTTTGCTCGTCACTGTTCCTCCGGGGCTTGTTGAGTCGGTTTCCACTCACTTACACCAAAATAGGTACAACCAGCGCACATAGCCGCTCACGCCGTCTCGTCTTCGCTTGCTCCGTCGCTCATCTATGAATTGTGTCTGACTCGAACCGATCGCTGGACGTCGTTCATTCTTTCCATTCATTCGCTTTCTTCCTAGATTGTCCCTTTATATGACAAATTTCCTTCCTTCCTTCTTTCTTTCTCTTTCTTTATACTCCTTGACGGATAATAATACATCATACTTACGTCTGCATCTACGGATTACACACACATCTGCACATGCGACGTGTACGCCTACACGCGCGCGCGCAAGGCATGAAGAGCTGAGAAAAGAAAAAAAAAAGAGAAAGACGAAAACACACTGCATGTCATCACTCATGCAGCATGACATACTCGTCTGACAACTACAACGACGCCCCGGTATCATGGTTATCACCTATATTCCAGAGCTGCATACCACTGGCCTCTTGTCTCGGCAGGGAACCCAGTCGTAGTGAGTCGCCAGACCCGACCGCCGCGGTACCCAATCAGCCGTGGCATACCGCCAAGGAAACGAGCGATCAGAACTTGCTCGCGGACCAACAACGAGAAAAGGAAGAAGAGGAAGAAGACGAGAAGATGAGCCCCAGCCAGGATCGGCATGGAACCGTCGCCATGATCCCGGTGGTCTGGAGGAAAGGCTTCGGCTCACTCAAGAGCTTCATCCTCCGCGCCTCGGATAGGGGAGGCACCGCATCGCGCCGGCCGCAGATCTCAGCCCCGTCCGACTTTCGCCACCTACAGAGCGGCTCAGGCTGCATGCCGCAGACATATTCCCCGGAGCAGATGGCTCTAGGACGTGCCCCGGAGGCACCGCCGGTCCAGCTGAGGCCGCGACCAAATCGCCAGGCGCGACCGTCATCATTCCGTCCCATAGAACTCAGTATATATCAGAGGAACAGCCGACGCATATCTTCGATGCTCTCGTTCCTCGAGTTCCCCGGCATGGCAGTTACGCCGCCCGAACCCGCCCAGCTTCGGGAACGCCTGGACGAGGACCACCAGCTCGTGCGTCACCAGCGGGCCAACTCGACTGTACCACCTTTCCACCTTCCGCTCCGGCCAGCGACAGACTCCGGGACTTCGAGCCTGCAGGCGTCCAGCGATGAGCAGGAGCAGGAGCACGGCACTCCGCCCCCGGTCCCGGAAAAGTCGCAGGCCCGGGAGCGCGCTTACACGTCTCCTGACGTCGAAAGCATAAGGGCGCGCATCGCCCAAGCCATGGCCGAGGCGGAACGGCTGCAGCAGCGCATCGACAATGTCATCGAGCGGCAGAGCATATACTCGGCCAGTCGGCCGTCGACAGCTCACTCGATGACCGGGGCCATGTCCGGTGAGTGATGATGACAGCACCCTCAGGTATCAAAGACTTAGTGGTGTGAAGCAAGGAGAATGCTGACAAGGATCCTCTCGATAGAGCTAGAGCCCATGCCATCCATCCCTGCGCTGCCACCGCCCGCCCCGTCGTTTGCCGAGCGTCTGAACTGCGAGTTTGAGAGACCGCGGACGACCCCGCCCAAGATGGAAGTCAGCGGGCCCAGCAGGCCCAGCAGGCACCATCCCGACGCCAACCGCAACGGCGACGACGGCGATTACTACCAGGTGATCGACGACATCGACTCCGACACCCCGCCGCTGTCGTCACTGCCCCCTCCCCCGCTGCCAATGGTTCTCCGCCCCCCTCCGCTGCGCAAGAAGAAGTCCTTCTCCCGCGTATCCAACTGGCTCTTCCCTCGGGACCAGCGGCAGCAGCGCGAGCGAGAGAGCCAGGGCCAGCACAGCCGTGACATCAGCCTCGACTCCATCACCAACCTCGCCCGACCCGTCAAGGGAACGCAGGGCTTCTACCAGTGCGTCGCACCCGGTGGTCAGGGCCACGACTCGTTCGACTCGATGGCCACCATCTCCACGTGGGATTCCGAGGACTGTCCGCCTACGCTGCCCAATGCGTCGTCGCCGGTGTGCGGTGGTGCGTCTGGGCCTGTCAAGGTGCAGGACCTACCTCGACTTGGGCGTGTGGGAACGTTTGGGACCGGATGATCTTGTTTCTGCCCCTCTGATCCCACTCCGTCTCTTCCCATTTCCCCATCCGTATTATTTCTTTAACGCATTTCTTCTTATTCTTTTCGACAGCCCAGGCACATGATACCATTTTTGTTGTATGTTATGTGCATGCCAAGCATGCCTTTTCTTCTTCTCCYCCYCCCCCCCCCCCCCACCCCCCTCCTGCCCTTTGGTGGCTTTTTTATATAGACAAGGGATGAGACGAGCTGGTTAGTATTATTTGCTAGTACTCTCTATATTCCAAGAATTCATGAGTAATATTCTCTCGCGCTCAGAATGAACGGGTCCGGGAATTCATGCACTTACGAATGCAATTCCCGTCTTGGCCAAAAAAGGTGCCGAACTTGCGGACATTTATTGATTCTGAAAAAGAAAATTGACAAAAGTACTGTTAGCATGAGAGCCGTATAGGCTCGTTCTCACGGCATTAACATCTCATATTTCCTCGTTTGGCAATAATGCCGCAGAGACGTTTGGGCCTGGTCCCTGGTGGTCACCAAGGTTGTATTTTGCTATTTTAGTATCTCGTACCTACAGGCTACTCCATACTACTACGGAGTCTTATTACCTACGACGCTGCATCAGTAACCAGTCAGGAGGTGGACACTGAGCGAAGGAGATCCATTTACGGTTTCCTTTCATTTCGAATCAGTTTTCTTCATTTCTCTCTTGAAGGCCCGAATTATTTTATATAAACACCAGTTCATCCCGCTCATCATGCTGGATCGTCTCCCCTTTCTCCGTTTTACTCATCGCAACCCTGCTCACCGTGTGTGACGAGTCGTCTCGTTCTTTTCTGTTTGGCTCAGCTCTCTCTCTCTCTCTCTCTCTCTCTCCTGTAGGCTTCGACATCTACGATAACTAAGGCAATTATGTCCTCCATGGTGCGACACGAGTACAGCCTCGTGACTGACTCCGAAAAGGGGACGGCAAGTCGCAGTGCTGTGCGCCGTCAGAAGAGACGCGGCGCTGCGGTGCTCGCCATCGTTCTCGTCGCTCTCGCTACGGCCTTCGTCATCACTCCCCTGCCTCATCAGTACGTCAAATTCTGTTGAGTGGAAATATATATCTCAGCTTGTCCGAGTGACTGACAGACCAAAAAAAAACAGCCATATTCGCAGAGAAGTGGAAGCGTCAAGCGAGTGCGAGGCGACGGCGAGCTGCAACGGCTCCGAGTCCACACACCTCTGGGGCCAGTATTCGCCCTTCTTCCCGGTGCCGTCGGACCTGGAGACGTCGGTGCCGGACGACTGCTCCCTGACGTCGGTGTCGGTGCTGTCGCGCCACGGGTCCCGGTTCCCGACGGCACACAAGACCGAGACGTACTCGTCCCTCATCTCCCGGATCCAGGAGTCGGTGACGGAGTACGCTGACGGGTTCGAGTTCATCCGAGACTACACGTACGATCTGGGGTCGGACTCGCTCACCGCGTTCGGACAGCAGCAGCTGTCGGACCTGGGCTCGACGGTGCACGGGCGGTACGGGGGTCTGGTATCGTCGGCGGACGACGGGCCGTTCGTGCGGGCGTCCGGGTCGGCACGCGTCATCATGTCGGCCGAGAACTTCACGTCGGGCTTCTACGCAGCCAAGGGCACGCTGGGCAACGGTGAGGCCATTCTGGTCGTCTCCGAGGACGAGGGGTACAACAACACGCTCAACCACGGGGCGTGCACGCAGTTTGAGGAGGGGCCGGACGCCGACCTCGGCGACGACAAGCAGGCGGCCTACGCGGCCACGTGGATCCCCGACGTGACGGACCGGCTCAATGCCAAGCTCCCGGGGGCCAACCTGACGGACGAGGAGACGGTGTACGTCATGGACCTGTGCCCGTATGATACGGTGGCCAGCGATGGCGCGCGCGACGTCTCGAAGTTCTGCAACCTCTTCTCCCGCGCCGAGTGGCTCGACTACGACTACTACCGCTCCGTGGAGAAGTGGTACGCCTACGGGTCGGGCAACCCGCTGGGATCGACGCAGGGCGTGGGCTACGTCAACGAACTGGTGGCCCGGCTCACGCGCTCCCCCGTGAAGGACCATACGTCGACCAACTCGACCCTCGACTCAGACCCGGCCACGTTCCCCCTCAACAGGACCCTCTACGCCGACTTCAGCCACGACAACACCATGTCGTCCATCTACGCCGCCCTCGGCCTGTACAACGCCACCGGCAACCTGCCCGTCGACGAGAGGGTCGAGCCCGGACAGGCCGCCGGCTACTCGGCCGCCTGGACCGTGCCGTTCGCCGGGAGGATGTACGTCGAGAAGATGAGCTGCGCCGCCGCCGACGAGGAGCTCGTCAGGATCTTGGTCAACGACAGGGTCGTCCCCCTGCAGAGCTGCGACGCCGACGAGCTGGGGAGGTGCAGGCTGTCCGACTTCGTCGACAGCCTGTCGTTTGCCAGGGACGGAGGGGACTGGGACAAGTGCTTTGTCTAGGGAGGTCACCACCATCATTACTGATTCCATACGTAATCTGTGCATAGCTGCATCTGCATCATGACGAATATATATTACCGTGTACATGTATATATCCCGGTACATTCACGTTCAACCCCGCCCCCCGCGCAAAAGTGGTGAAAGACGACGGTAGCTGTATATTACTTGCACCATGTCGACGGTTGATTTACACTTACCTCTTTCCTATGCTGAGTACAGATGTACATGTATATGTAAGTGCATGTAAACGGCGCTTTGTGAGGATAGCGTTGGCTTCCATTACCGGTAGTCTGTACAGCTCACGATGTACAGAGGCTACAGGGCAGTCTTGGCAATCCTTAGCGGAATCCAACAGGGCAGGTACCCACTGTACTCTCCCCGGTAGCGTGAGTGTCGGCGGGGACGCTGTAACCTGGAACACACTCACGTTACGTCCTGTACGAGTATGGGGGACACCAATGGACTGGACGGATCGGGTAGCTGCCAGTTTAGCGCCCTGTCTGCTGTAACTGCAGCTGTGCGAGCAGGGAATGGACCTCCCCTCCACTGGAGCTCCCATGGAAGGGAGCGACCCTCCCGTGCTTGACCCACCCTCGTACTAAGCCCCAGCCCAAGCAAGGCAAAGGGCCCAAGACGGTCAGTCATTCCATACCCATCTCTCTCTCTCTCTCTCTCTCTCTCACTCTCCCTCTCTGGTCCAATCCGTTCCCAACCTACGACGACGACGCATGTCCCAAACCGTTGTTCAGAGGTCCCGTCACGACACACACACGCACACACGCCACTCGATTCAGACACACGCATACTCTTGACACACACACTCTCTCTCCTCTCAGGCATACAACACGTTAAGAGACATATAGAGAACAAAAGTCAGCCACGGGCATATGCGCGCGCGCGCACACATCTCAACTCGATAGCTCCATCAAACTTAGACTCCCTCTGAGTAGAGACTGCAGTCGATAAGCATCATGGTGTCTGCTGGCGGTGGCATAATCATTGCCATTGTGCTCGTCTTCGTCCTCGGTGCTATAGGCTGGGTTCTTTTCACGCAGCTGCGGGCGCGTAACCTGGGTGTAGGTCTCTTCCCTGTCACTCTCTTTCCTCTCCCTTCCATTCTCTCTCTCTGTACCTCTTGTCACAGATGCAACGTGCCTGACTGACACCCCGACCGATAGCTCCCAACCCCCTCTCTATCCGACTATCTACCATGGAAACGAAGCGGTGGCGGCTCCTACAGTCCACCCCGCCCCGCCTCCGGAGGCGTAGTCGGCTGGTTCAACCAGCAGGTACAAAAGGTCAAGGGCCGCGGTGGCGGCGGCGGCGGCAATCAGCGATCCGCCAGGGGTGCCTATGAGCAGCAAGCGGGGGGAGGGTCCGCCGGGACCGGCCATCGCGGGTTCGGCCCCCTCGATCCGGACGAGGCATGGGATACGCGTGTCGACGACGCGAACGACTACGAACACTACGAGCGGGGACGGTCCGGTGCCGGGACTGGCGCCAACCGCAGGGACAGCGCGGATAGTCTGGAGTACCAGGGTGCCGGCGCCTACGAGGGCATCAACCTGTCTTCTTCGTCGGGACCGTACGGAGCGGAGGACGAGGAGAGGGGTCGTCGACCCGATAGGCGGAACCCGTTTGATGACGATGCTGGCAATGATTCGAACCTCCGAGGTATGAGTCCTAGACCTACGGAGGGTCATGACAAGTCTACCTTCAGAGAGCAGGTCTAAAGGAGGGTCAGGGTCTATGTGTGAATAAGGCGGTTTTTTCTTTTTTTTTTTTTCTTGGTGTGACAATTGCTGTTTTTTCTTGTTCATTGTTGACGTTTACTGTATCATTTACTTGTTCCTTTTTTTTCTTTTCTTTTGGAAATGTTTTTTCTGTCAAGGTGAAAAAAAAAGGCGTCGATTACATTACCCCGTGGAGGAGAAAAAGCGTCAGTTATATCTCATTCATCATCAAATGGCAGAGGAAGGGACAGAGCGGATACGATCAAGACGAAGAAGACAGAGGGAGGAGGGGGGGGGGAAGGTGGACTTAGTATCAGAGAGGATAAGATGCAAATATTCTTATGGAAAAAAAAAAAAGAAAGACGGAAAATCATCGAGATGTGAATGACAGCAGAGAGTCGGACCCACGTGGGAAAACAAAGCGTGTAAAACGAAATAATTGTTAAATAATATGTTACTCCGCAATACATCATAGAGGGAGGCACGGTGTGCTGCCTGCTCTGTCTACTCGTACATAATACTCCTCGTAATATATATATACACACATGTACGGCCATGCTGCCCCTCACCCCACCCACTCTGACCACATCACTGAGTCTTTTCTCTCCCTGACAACCTCGTCGTTTCTCTTCTCTTGACCTCTAATACATCTCTATTCAGGGACATATCTCTACGAGGAACGTCTACAAAGGCGAGCCGACATGGCCGACATCAACCTCCAAGCCGTCCATGATGAATTGGTCAAGGTGGCCTACGATGCCGGCAAGATGATTCTGGCTGCCAACCCTCAGGACATTGGCAGCGATACCAAGCTCAACTGTGTGTTGTATCTCTCTCTCTCTCTCTCTCTCTCTCTCTCTCTCTCTTCTCTGTCGGAAATACTTGATGTGTGAAAAGAGAGAGAAGATACGAAATGGAGAAAGACAAACCCTTCTAACACAAGCATCCCCCCACAGCCGTCGACATCGTCACCGAGGTAGACAGGGGAGTGGAAAAGATGGTATCCGGTCGTCTATCCGCCTCGTTCCCTTCCGTTGCCTTTGTAGGTGAAGAGACGTACAAGCCTGGCATGAGGATCGGACCGGAGCCAACATTCGTCGTCGACCCTATCGATGGTACACTCCTCCCCTTTTCTTCTCTCTGTAGTCGTCCTTATTGTCTGTCGGCATCTTCAAAAGAAACAACCCTCCCCCTCCCCCCCCCCCCCCCCCCCCCCCCCCCCCAAAAAAAAAAAAAAAAAAGGTCTGACAGATTCCCGAGGGGGAAAAAAAAAGGAACGACAAACTTTGTCCACGGCTTTCCCAACGCCTGCATCTCTCTCGGCCTGGCGGTGGATCGCACGCCGACGGTTGGCGTCATCTACAACCCGTGGCAAGACCTGCTCTTCACGGCCATCAAGGGCGGTGGTGCCTTCATGACGCGCACGCGGGGCTCTGAGCCGCGGCGCCTCCCGCTGGCCAGATCCCCCGCTCCGCTAGCCGGCCTAGACAGTGCCCTCGTGGCCGCCGAGTGGGGGTCGTCGCGCGACGGGCCCAACTTCGACCTCAAGGTCGAGACGTTCCGCCGCCTGGCCGCTACCAAGGAGACGGGCGGCGCCATGTGCCACTCCATCCGGTCTCTCGGGTCGGCCGCCCTCAACATCGCCGCCGTGGCGGCTGGTCAGATGGATTGCTACTGGGAGGGCGGCTGCTGGGCCTGGGACGTCTGCGCCGGCTGGTGCATCCTCGCCGAGGCCGGGGGTGTCATGGCTGGCGGGAACCCGGGCGTGTGGGAGGCTGCTCTGGAGGATAGGGTCTACCTCGCCGTCAGGGGGGCGCCGTCCGGTCAGAAGGAGCTGGTTGAGGAGTTTTGGAACGTCATCGGTCACGGTCGTCTGGATTACAAGGTTTAGATGACATGGCCGTATATATATATAAAATATACATGCATTGATGATTTGGACTTGTGGGGGGGGGGGGTTCTTCTCTTTCTTTTGGTTCTTCTTTTTCATATCATGATATTCCCCCCTTCTTTCAGTTACGTACATTGGTGCCCCTTCAGAGAAATCGATGAAAAGAAATGAAGATGAAAAGTATCAAGACTGTAACAAAGTAGATCAACATGGTCCATCTGCCTTCAAGGTTAGAAACGCCGTCTATGCGTATGCGGAGTGAAGATTTGTCCCTATCCCCTCTCCACTCTCCCTCATAATCCCACGGTACTTTTGAAACGCGTTCACAGACAATGTGCCTCCTCCCTCATGCCTCCTTGGCATCAACCTTCTTGGCAGCCGGGGCCTCCGAGGCACCGCCATCGTCCTCACGCGCACGCTTCGCGTTGCCTTGGCCCTCGCCGCCACCGTTGCGACGGTCCCTCTGGTCACGGTCACGACGTCCGCCGCGGGAACCGCCGCCGCCGCGGCCGCCGCGTCCACGTCCGCCACGTCCACGGCCTCCGCCGCGTCCACCGCGAAAGCCGTTCTTCTGGTCGTTGTCGCGACGCTTCTTCCAGTCATTCTGTCCGTTGGCGTTGGCGCTGCCGCCCTTGCTGCTCTCCTTGCCCTCGAAGAACTTCTTGGTGACGGTCGTGTTGGGCTCAAGCTTGCCCTGGCGGATGAGGTCCGACTTCTCGTCGCAGTAGGCCTTCTTGGTCATGATCTTGAGGTCATGCGACTGCCACTGGGGCTTGGTCTCGAGGCCGACAAACCTGGCGGCGGTCTCCTCATCGGCAAAGGTGACGAAGACGGAGCCCTTGAATAGGCCCTCGTTGGTGCGGCGCAGCTTGACGCCCTTGACCTCGCCGTACTGGGCGAAGAAGCTCTCCAGGTCGAACTGCATGCTGGGCGTCTCGTCGCCGAAGCCCTTAGCGTACACCGTCGACGCCTCGTTCTTGGCCCGCGACTGCGACTGCGGCACGTACGCCGTCTTGCGCTTGACCGACTCGGACCCCTCGGCCGAGCCCTCGGGCCCGTCCACGACGTCCAGGAGCTTGCTCTCGCGCAGCGCGGCCACGACGGCGCTGTATGGCTGGAACACGCGCATGCGCTTGAACGAGTGGATCTTGCTGATCGGAATGGGCTTGTTCTCAGCTCCGCCGGCAGTCTCCCACATGAACTTGTCCTGGGGGAAGTTCCAGTCGCCAAAGTAGAACTCGACCTAGCACAGAGGGGATGTTAGTGTCGGTCCCCGAGTCACGGGTCGAAGGTGGATATGTGAGATTACCTGCTTGCGGATGGCCTCGGGGTCATCCGTCACCTCGCGAGACTCGGGGTCAAACTTGCGATTGTTCTTGAAGTCCTTGCGGTCAATCTTGGCCGTCGTCTTGAGGACGTCGGACGAAGCGGCACCATCCTTGGGGTTTTCGGCAGGGGCCTCCTCAGTATGGGTCTCCTCGGCGGAGGTCTCCTCGGACTTGGGCTCCTCAGCTGGAGTCTCTTCGACCTCGGCCTCGGCAGCGGCGGGAGTCTCAGCCGGGGCAGCAGTGGCCTGGGGCTGCTCCTCGACGGGCTTGGCCGAGGTAGCGTCGGCGTCGCTCATCGTGACTTGTTTATAGATGTATAGACAGGGAGAGGTGAGAGAGGCAATTGAGAGGGTGGGAGTCTGTTGTTCTGTTATAGATGTGACTCTTGTCAGTAAAGGAAAGAAGGAAGAAGAAAAAATGACCGAGAAGTTGTCTGCCTTGGTGGCGGGGCAAAGTAAGAATCAGTTGCGAGTGGGCGCAGGAGAAAGAAAAAAATTCGAATTGGTCAATTACCTCTGAGTCTTTTGAACCAAGTGCCAGATTCGAGACTCGCGGTAAACCGAGTAACGGAGCAAGATCGAATACAATAAAGAGGAGTTCAGACAGGAAAAAAAAAAAAAAGATGCGATGACCAAAAAAAAAAAAAAAAGGAATGGGAAAAAAATAATGGATCGCAACTCGCACGGCGCAGCGTTGGATGGAGATGGGGGGAAGGGGGGGGGGGGGGGGGGGGGGGGGGGGGGGGACCCTTATCCCAAAGAGGAAATTCTGCCAAATGCTACTGCGCCAAATATTAGCGGCAGCGATCTCACCGCCCGAGGCCCCGCTTGTCCCGCATTGGTAGAATTCTTGTGCATTGCATGTTCCCCACGTCCCGTTATGAGCGATGAGTCTTGCAAGTATTATTATGGCCATTGGAGCTAGTAAACCTCTCTCTGCTTACTCGTGCGCCGTTGAGAGTCACTCGGATGAGTAATAAAGGTGGATGTATTGATCAACTGGTTGAATTCACACAGCGCACGATTTTTCATCATGACGCAAACCAAAGGTGCCGAGAGCTAGAACGTTAGCAGCCTCAGTGCCATACAGCTGCTCCAGCGCTAAGACAGAAAACCTTGTAGCGCCCATACCAGCTAAACCTTCTACTAAAAGCAGATCCATCTTGGTACATTTACTGGTTACAGGTCTACAGATTACTACTGATACAGTCTACCTGGGTACTCGTACGGGTACTCGTACAGGTAACCCTGCCCGCCTACGAGCTTCCACCTCTCAGTGTTCATAGAGACCGGAATGACATCAGCCTCGGATCAGGAAAAGTCCCGATGCATCGCCAAGCAAGTTCTCGACCACCCTCCCAAGACCCAGTCCAACATACCTACTCCCTTAAACCTCAAGAACAGTCCCCACGCTTGTCGTCTCTCTCCATCACTCTTCTTCTTCTCTCTCTCTCTTCTCTCTCTCTCTCTTTTCTCTCTCTCTCTCTCTTTTCTCTCTCTCTCTCTCTCCCTCTCTCTCTCTCTCCCCTTCTCTTTTGTTCAATATATATACTACCAATCTCAGAGAACGATTCCTCTTCGACCATGCACTGAGTGACGCTGTTCAGGGCAACACGACAGCCTTCCGGACTCTTCCCAGCGGCCCTCTCTTACCCCAAACATCATGAGATACCCCAGCAGTACCTCCACAAGAGGCCTAGTCCAGCTTCGGCTGAGCAGCAGAAGCCTCAACCTACGTCCCGGACAACCCCGGCGCACCTTGTTCACGTCCAACAGGGCCAATGCCGCCAAACAAGTACGTAGCCCAGTGTCTACGATCCCTCTGGCGGTACTCTCGGCTGGCGGCTTGTTGCTGTGGTCGCTCCATCACCCGAACCAAGATCTGTACCGTCTCTCGGGCGTCCCATTGAAGCAGCCGAGGCCGGAACAGGGAGATGCTGATGATGGCCAACCCAAGCGTGACGCGAAGGATGACGGCGACCGAGACGAGAGCCATGGCGATGGGAGCAGAGACGACGGCCCTTTCCCAGCTTGGGCCAACTTCGCGCGCACCTTCGAAACGGCTTCCCTGACGACAGCCCTGGAATGGTCGACCCTGTCTGACAAGCTGGCCGGCTACATCCTACCCGACTGGGCTAAGCTGATGCCCGGCTACATCGGCAAGCTGCAACGGGAGCTCTCCATGTCTCCCGGGTCTCTGGCCGACGAGATCTGGCACGAGGCCCACGACCCGCTTGTAAACCCGGAGATCCGGTACTCTGCGTCGGTGCGCGTGTCCGACGAGCTGTGCGACGACGAGAAGGAATACCTCTCGCGGCGCAAGCGCGTCATCCGCGTCGCCCTGGCCAGATACCTGGATCTGCGGGAGGACGACATCCACCCGGACGATGTGCCCACAATCGCCATGTGCGGGTCCGGCGGCGGGCTGCGCGCCCTCATTGCCGGTGCCGGGTCCATCCTTGCCACCGAGGAGGACGGCCTGTTCGACTGCGTCACCTACACGGCCGGCGTGAGCGGCTCCTGCTGGCTGCAGGCCTTCAACCTGTCGTCCTTGGCCAAGGGCCGCGTCGCGACCCTGGTCGAACACCTCAAGTCGCGCGCCTCGACGCACATTGCCTACCCCCCCGTGGCGCTGCAGTCGCTGGTCTCCCTGCCCACGAGCAAGTACCTCCTCAGCGGCATCGTGGAGAAGCTCAGGGGTGATCCCAACGCCGACTTTGGGCTCGTCGACGTCTACGGTCTGCTGCTGGCGGCGCGGTACCTGGTGCCCAAGGGTGACCTGGGCGTGAACGAGCGTGACTTCAAGTTCTCCAACCAGCGCGACTACATCAAGTACGGCCAGAGCCCCATGCCCATCTACACGGCGGTACGGCACGAGATCCCCGGGCTCAACCCGGACGGCACCGCCGATATGACGGCGGAGCAGGCCAAGGAGCAGGCCAAGAACGAATCGTGGTTCCAGTGGTTCGAGCTGACACCCTACGAGTTCTTCTGCGAGGAGTTCGGCGCGGGCATCCCGACGTGGGCTCTGGGCCGCAAGTTCCAGGACGGTGAGGACGTCCCCCCTCCCCCGGAGAACAAGGGCTTCCACATGCCCGAGATCCGCGTGCCTCTGCTCCTGGGCGTCTTCGGCAGCGCCTTCTGCGCCACGCTGAACCACTACTACCGCGAGATCCGCCCCGTCGTCAGCAACATGACCGGTTTCGGCACCGTCGACGAGATGATCACCGGCAAGAGCAGCGATCTAAGCAAGGTGCATCCCATCGACCCGGCGCGCATCCCCAACTTTGCCTACCGCATGCACGGCAAGCTTCCCAAGACCACGCCCGCGTCCGTCTACGACCAGGAGTACATACAGCTCATGGACGCCGGCATGTCCAACAACCTCCCCGTATACCCCCTTCTCCGCCCCGGCCGCAACGTGGACGTCATGATCACGTTTGACAACTCGGCCGACGTCAGGACGGACAATTGGCTGTCCGTGGTGGACGGATACGCACGCCAGCGCGGCATAAAGGGCTGGCCTCTGGGCATCGGATGGCCCAAGCCTGACGAGTCGGCCACCCAGACGCAGACTGACCTCGCCGAGGCCCAAGGCCAGGTCCACACGGCCCAGGAGGCAGACTGGAAGATCCGCGAGGCCAAGAGCCAAGCCGCCGCCGCCGGCACTGCGAGCCAGGATCTGGGCTACTGCACTATCTGGGTCGGAAAGACCGAGGAGCGCACGTCGGAACCGCCACCTCCTCCCAAGGCCATCGGACCGCCGGACGCGTGGCGGCTCATGGAAGCCGACGCCGGCATAGCAGTGGTCTACCTGCCCCTGCTGCCCAACGACAAGGTGCCCAACGTGTCGCCGGGCGAGACGGACTTCCTCAGCACCTGGAACTTTGTCTACACGCCCGAGCAGATTGACAAGGTCGTCCAGCTGGCCAGGGCCAACTACGACGAGGGCAAGGACCAGATCCGCGAGACGGTCAGGGCTGTGTACGAGCGCAAAAAGGCCACGAGGCTGGAAGCCGAGAAGCAGGACCGGATGAAGCGACTAGCTAGACGGGGGGAGAAGGCCCTCGCCGGAGAGGGAGATCAGTTCAGTTAGTTTGCACGAGCACGAGTTGTTTTATATGTGCATGTACAGGTACTAGAGAAAAATCACAATCAACCCTTGTTCATTCACCATTTGAACCAAAGATGGCACCAGTGCCAAGGGAATCATCGGCTGAATGCACATATATATATATTTATACAAAAAAGGAGGTCGTCGTCTAATCATCCACCTTGTAGATATCCTCTTCCCCCCCCCCCCCCCCCCCCCTTTTTATTTTCTTGTCAATGACAATTTTCTTTGTTTCATGTTTTGTAATGTACACTAGACACAAGTTTTCTTGGTTCTTCGACATCATGCCCAAGCACNCCAGTGCCAAGGGAATCATCGGCTGAATGCACATATATATATATTTATACAAAAAAGGAGGTCGTCGTCTAATCATCCACCTTGTAGATATCCTCCTCCCCCCCCCCCCCCCCCCCCCTTCTTATTTTCTTGTCAATGACAATTTTCTTTGTTTCATGTTTTGTAATGTACACTAGACACAAGTTTTCTTGGTTCTTCGACATCATGCCCAAGCACTCTTTCTATCTCTCTCCTAACAGAATACAAGATAAAGAAATGAAGAACAAAATAGGTTACAAGGGTAGTAGTGGGCGTGAGGCAGAAGAGGGGGGAAAAAAACTACAGAAGCTCGCCGATGTCAATGTGAGGAGCCTTCCAAGGCTTGGCGCCCTGCTCAAACATCTCGCTAGGCACACGGACCTTACTGGCCGGACTGTAGAGGTACCAGGCCTTGAGGGCGTTCATGGAAGCTTTCCGTCGGGCCATGTCGAGGCTCGAGCCAGCAGCCTCACCCAGCCTCTCCTTGCCGCTGTAGATGCCGACGACGAAGACGGGGGTGCGTGACAGGCGGCCGGTCTCGCTCTCGAGACGGGCCAGGGGCGGTTCGAACCCTTCGCGGGCGCACAGCATTGACAGCTCGCGCGTCGGGAGGTTGAAGGCGAACAGGGACGAGAGGTCGAGGTAGCGCGAGAGGATGTGGCTGTCGACAAAGGCCTTGGCCGACTGGCGGCCGCAGTGGGCGTAGATGGCGCCGACAACGGCCTGGGCAAACGACGAGAAGGCCCGGTTCTGAAGCTGCTCGAAATTATGGGGCGACGAGGCGTCCGACACGACCTTGTCACCAAAGTCGTCGTCCAGAACAACACGGCTGCTTATTCCGCGACGGTACTTGTCCAGGTCAGCACGGACGTAGCCTGAGGTTGACTGGGAGGTGGGTGCGGAAGTTGCGGACGCCGACGCGGGCTTGGGGGCGGGCGACCACTGCAGCAGTCCAGGGTCCACCTCCTCTCCCGGGGCGGCGGCCTCGTCCGTACCCCATCGACGCGCCACCTGAGCCAGTGCGTCCGGGCCAGAGTATGCCCTCAGGGCCTCGTACAGGATAGCCATGGGCAGACGCGGGAATTTGCATACCAGGTGCTCGAGCACGTGGTAGTTGATGATGCTGGCACCCAGGGTGGCCAGGTTCTGATTGTTGAAGCTGGCGTTGGCGTCCGCAGAGGGAGTCACTAGTGCGCGCGCCAGCGTCTGCAGAGGCACCTTGCTCGAGAGGGAGAGGCGGGCGTGCAGAGCGGCCAGCTTGGCCGACTCGAGGGATCGTTCCGGTCGTGGCGAGGGAAGGGGGGATCGGCGCGTCTCGGCCGGTGACGACGAAGGTGTCGTACTGCTGCTGCTGCTGATTGTCGATTGACATCTCCTGCTGCTAACTGCAGCGCATGACGCCATCAATGAGTGCTGGGCGTGACTACCGACTGCTGCTCCTGACCGAGCTTGGTAGACCATCTGGCCGGTCCATCGCGAGGGACGTAACCTCTTCATTACGACAATTCAACCTGTGTGTGTGGAGAAGGGGGGGGAGGGGGGGGGGAGAGAAATTGTCGAGCACTTATATTTACTCCGACGTCCAAGAAGAAGAAGAAAAAGTGAGAGATAGAGAGAGAGGGGAGGAAGATTTGCGGCCGTCCGAGGGTCAAGCCTTCGTGTGAGCAAAGCAACCGAGAAGAACCAAAAATTCGTGTCTTGGGAGACAGGACGATGGCACAAGGGGAAATTTGGCGGAGAATCTATCGGCCCGAGACTGGTCCAGTGAGTTGTTAAAAAATGCCTACGAGTATCCGTAGTGCTAAGGAAAAAAAAAGAGTGAGATGAGACTTAGTCAGCAAACGAGGTCTCCGCTATGGAGAACTGTGGGCTTGGAATCTCAACTCCTCTCACTGGCTGACGCTTACCCCGGACTGCCCCGACCATCTCCCTCTCCCCCAGAAAAACAACACGCAATTACATACGCAACCCCGATTCGAAAGACAGACCCTCTCTACTCGAAGAGAACCCCAGTTCAAAATGGTAGGATTTTCCTTTATCTATATACAAACTTGATGAAGGAATTGATACTGACCAACCGGTGCAAAAATAGGGTGGTGGTGGAAAGATCCCGTAAGAAGGCCAACCCCCCCCCCCGACCGATGTCCCCATCTTCAGAGTGGGACGAGCGAACGAGGGAGGAATTCGTCTCATCACACTTGGGATATGGGGAAGAAGGGCATACAAAAAGAGAGACAGGAGAAGAAATTGACATCTCTCCCAAAACAGGTACCCCAAGCATGTCTGGTCCCCGTCCGGTGGTTGGTACTCCCAACCGTCCAACTGGAAGGGCAACACGATTGTCGCCGGAGCCGTCATGGCCGCCATCGTCGCAGTGACCTGGAAGTTTAGTGCCGACCGCGAAACGTTTGCGCGCAAGCCAGAACCCGGTGGTTGGTACCCCAGCCGAAAGTAGGTCTTGTCCCCTCCGTCGATGGACGGGAGTTCCGGAACGAAGAAAGCCTATGGTCAATGAAGACACACACATACACAGAGAGAGAGAGAGAGAGAGAGATGTTAACAACTTTCACCTTGCAGCTGGACAAAGCAATTGAAAGAGTACGACGCCGAGGAAAAATCTACGGCGGACAAGAACTAGAGAGTATGGTTATCGGTTTACTCAGTCCCGTTGTGTGTAAGAGAGTAAGGCGACTAGACGTCTGATTTATTCCTTTCTACTGCTACTCCTTCTTCTTATCCTTTCTTGCGAATTCTGGTAGTACTACGTCAATTTTCTGGACTTTCTCTGTTCTTGATTCACCACCGTCTTCCCATAACGTATGACATATTACCAGTACCTTTCCATTGCGGGTAGTTACTTACCTGCATGACTGCCCCCAGACACGGTCAACCAACCACTTTGCAGTCCAAGGGAATGAAGAAAGGGAAAAGTGAAAAGCTGCTGGTCCTAGCCTCTTTGTTTTCGTCATCGTACTGTTATGAATCGCCTTCCCATGTTTGAGAGTTATAGCTCTCCAGGACCCCGATACCGTCATGACTCCAGGGTAACTCATCTACTAACAGCTTTTGCAGCAATATTCGTGTGCACCCGTTAGTGTGCTTAGTCATGACCCCGCCATCGGTCTGCCGTTGCTGACTGCATCATTCATTGATTCTTTCTCTTTCTTGCCGCCTGTCTCTCACCAACTTGACTGTTGACTCGATTCACCTTTTTATTTTATCTTAATTCTCATATTCTCTCGCTATTATCATACTAATTTCCTCCTCGTTACTTCTTCTGCCTGTTTAACAGAAACGATCCCTTTGATCTGTTTTACTTCGACAGTAAATGCCGCCCATTCGAACCATCCATTCTCCATCTCTCCTCCCAGAGGCGCCCCACCGCTGCTTCTCGCTATTTAACGACTGATTAAGCCATCTCTTTCCTCCTCTTGCTGCCCGCTTCTGGCCCAAAGCACCTCATTATATATCCGCTTTCTCATTCAGCCACACACTCCTGGCAACGAATAAGCCGCTGCGGCCAAGGGATATCTCTTCTCCTCCTTCTATCGACGTGTCGACTTATCCTAGGCTGACTGGCTGCGGCGACCTGGCGATACTCTGTTCTCTTTATACTTGGCTAGAGTGCACGTCCTTAGCCAAGGTCGCCACACCCACTACGTGCAGTGACTACCTGTTCGGTACGCACGCACGTCGTACCTCTACTCCCGACTACTGCCGACAAGCAAGCTTCTTTGATCCTTGCTTGCTGGCTGTACACCAGATCCCGTCATCGCCGAAAATCATCGCCAACCTTCGCCCACAGTGGCTTTCCGAGCGATTCGCCTTGCAGGCCTCGCCGTCGGCGTCGGACTCAGTGCCCTGTCTGCGTACCATCGCGGTCGGGAGCATCGTCGCCCCATGGCCGACTTCGGCTTCCTCGACGCCACAGGCGGCCGCGAGGTTGTCTACTGTCACGCCTGCAGACATGAGTGGTATCGCGACCAGCATGGCATAGTCTGCCCCCACTGCGACGGTGATATTACCGAGATCGTGAGTGGCCCTCTCTGCTTTCCAACCCTGCCCTTCCCGGCTCTGGATATCTTGTTAACCTTCCACCCAGATCGACCCCGAAAACGACCCGAGAGAGCTCAACGGTCGGGGCCATAACCACAGCTCCTCGGCTTCGTCGGATCGGATGCCCACCAGAGGCTACTACGACGACGACTCGGACCCCGGGGAGGCAGACATAGAAGAGCAGCTCAGTGATGCTGCCGACCAGGGCTTCGCTTTCAACCGAGACACCCGCCATGCCCACGACCACAGGCACCATGACCCCGACGTCGACCCCGTCATCCACCGTTTTATAGACATGGTGAACGGCTTCGGCACCGCCCACGACCCGCGCGCCCAGCCTGGCCTTCATACCCACCACATTCATCGTCCTGACAATCGTCAACATCAGGATCATGAGCACGGCCATTGGTTCGACGACGATCACCACCACGACCATGGCGGCAACCACCCCGATCATGGTCCCGACCATGGCCACAATACCGGCATGCCTTCGCCCATGCCCGACTTCAACTCTACTGCCAGAGACCACTTTGCAGGTCCGCGCATACACCGTACCACCATCCGTAATGGGCCCTTTGGCGGCACGGCAAGCATAACGATCTTCTCCGGCTCCATGCGACCCCGCGATGGACCTCCTGCGATGGAGGGCGGCGGGAGTGACCCGTTTCAAGAGTATGTGGAACCCTGTGTCTCTGAGCTATATATGATCTTGGTTCTCATATATGCTAACACATGTTTTTTTGCGCAGAATATTTAGCAGTATTTTCCGCGACATAGGGCCGCCGCCTGCAGGCGACGGCCAGACCCCCGCTGGCGGACCGGGACGGCCCCAAGGCTTTGCCAGAAGCCTGCAGGATCTTCTGGGCCTGCTCAACCCAGCCAACGCCGTGGCGGGCGACGCCGTCTACTCGCAGGAGGCCCTGGACCGCATCATTTCCAACCTGATGGAGGTAAATCCGCAGTCCAATGCTGCGCCGCCGGCTACGGAAGACGCCCTGCAGAAGATGGTGCGCAAGCCTGTCGACGCCGAGATGCTTGGTGCCGACGACAAGACGGAGTGCTCCATCTGCATCGACGAGATGAAGCTTGGCGACATAGCCATGTTCCTTCCGTGCAAGCACTGGTTCCATGAGAAGTGCGTGGTACTCTGGCTCAAGGAGCACAACACGTGCCCCATCTGCCGCACGCCCATTGAGATAAATGAGCGCTCCGGTTCAGCCAATAATAACGGTGGCAACCCTAACGGGCAGCAACAGCCCGGTGGCAGCAGCAGCAACAGCAACAGCAGCAGCGGCAGCAGCAGCAGCAGCAACACCAATAACAACAACAATAATACAGGCAATGCCGCACCATCGTCTTCATCAATGCCCCCCGGGTTCCTGTCCTCTTACCCCTTTGGCAGCGATAGCCGCAGTGGACGATCATCACCGGGACCAAGCCTGTGGTTCACGACACGACGCTTCGACACTACGGGCAGCGGCGGCGGCAGCGGCAGCGACGGCGGCGGCGGCAGCGCGATAGGAAGCTACTACTACCGGCAGAACGCACGGCCGCCGAGCCAGCGCCACAGCCGACTGAACGAGGCGCTGCGCAGTGTGTCGTCGATGCAGGAGCGGGAGCGGGAGCGGGAGCGAGAACGTGAGCAGGGCTCGTCGTCGAGCGTCAGCTACGACACGTCCCGTCTGCAGCGCCGCAACTCCATGTCACCCACCAGCCGCCGGACGACCAGCGACCTATCTTCCCGGATGAGAGAGCGCAGTCCCTCGCAAAGCAGTGGCCGATGGGCAGAATCCGACCGCTGTGACGCAGGTATGCCGTCATCATCGGGCCTCGGCGGTGCCACCTCTTCATTGTCACGACGCCAATCTCCAGGCGGAGGCGGTACAGGACCGCTTAGCTGGTTGAGAGGTCGTCTAGGCGGTAGTGGCAGCGGTAGCGGTAGCGGTGACAGTGGTTACTCGCCGAGGGACGAGGACGATCGACGATCCTAGGAGAGAATCCTTCTCCTCGTCAACGGATCTAGAAGACGGTCTCTACAAGGCGTGTGGGAATGGTGATTCTTGAACTTTTTATTCTTCGCTCCTTTACTTCTAAAGACTTGTCTAAGGCATGACCTTCTCTTGAACTTTTGTTTTTACGCTCTTTTTGAGACTAAAGAACCCGTTGTAGTAGTAAGTCTAGTAGTAAAGCGTTCTACGGCCTTTGTGTGACAATTTCATTATTCTTTTCTTCATATATGAACTATCATGCCATTCCTCTGATATTGATACATATATGTACGGAGCACTCACACTCATTTATAAAACTGATGCACATTATACACCACTAAGCAAACGTACCACTGAGGCTCGGTTGATGTTGTCTCAATCATACCAATTCTTGAAAAATACTTTTCTCACTCAACGCACTTTACGTATACAAGTGAAACACGTGATATATATATCCTTGTATTTTGCTTTTTTGTTTTTTTGTTTTTTTGGAGAAATCAAACCAGGAAAAACAACTTTATAACCATAGGTATAAATCCAACGAGTCGATCAGAACCAAAAGAAGATGACACAAAAAAGCATCGTATAAGAAGAGAGGAAAAAGGGTATCCCAGTGGACACAGCCCGCCATCACACCCGAGGTTGCGTTTCGGTTTTTTTGTAGTAACTATTTATAATTCTTCTTTGGACGTCCGTAACTCCCCGACACCTGGCGTCATTGTGTATTTGTGTGTAATAGATGTTTGAGAGCGAGAGAAGAAAAGAACAAGAAGAGAGGTCAAGAGATAGAACCGAGGGGTGAGAGCATGGGGGAAAAAAATAAAGAGGTCAAGTGAGCAGAAGGAAAGTGGGTTTAATCCTGGAAGAACTTGATAATCTGCTGGAGATCACGCAGTCCGACACCGTGCTTAGGGTAGCAAATGTACACCTCTTCGCCCAGCACACCAAACTTGGAGCGGAAGTCGGCCTTGCGGCGCAGGCCGAGGCTGTCGACAATCGACTTGTACGTGCTGGCCAGGAAGCGCGCGCGCATTCCATTCATGTGCTCGCCGGGCGTCAGCTTCTCCGACACGCCCACGCCAAACGTCACCTGACCGCTGACGCTGCTCAGCGCGTACTCGACCAGCACCTCAATGGCGCCGTTGACCGAGTGCGGGAAATCGAGCGCCCACTTGACCTGCCATCCGTGGCGGGGAGAAAGCTTGTGCAGCACCACCAGCGACAGGACCTTGTTGTCTTTCTCGGCCGCAAAGTACCGGCGGTGCTCCGGGTCCACCCACGGGCGCACCTCGGTCAGGTGCACTTGCTTGCCCTTGCGCGCGCTCTTCCACTCCTCGATGGCGTGGTCGGCACGTGTCTTGAAGTCGGCATCGGGCTTGATCTCATGGATCTTGACGCCCTCGCGCTCCACGCGCCTCGCCTTGGGACCGTTACCGTTGATGCGGTGCTTGTCCGTGTCGACACGCTGCTCCTCGGTACACGACAGCGTGCGCCACTGCATGTCGTGCCCCAGGATGAGCTGCACTTCGTACGAGACCAGCATCCAGATGGGCGTCAGGTGGAGCTCGGTTGTCGCGAAAGTGATGAAGGCCTTGCAGATCTCGCGGTACTGCTTCTTGTCGCACAGCGGGTCACCCGTCACCATGACAAACTTCTCCTGCTTGACGTAGCCAACGGCAGCACCGGTGGGGTGACGCCAGAGCTCAAAGCGGTCATCCAGCCACGACGTGTTGGACGCATCACCGTAGTTGGCAATCAGCTTCTCCAGGGGTGGCATCGTATCGTCGGGGTGGGTCTTGGTCGTGTCGGCCTCGGGGTGGGGCAAGCCCAGCTTGTGCTCGGGAAGCGACTTGGGGTCGCGGTGGAAGAGCGAGGCGTAACGCACATCACCCAGCTCTAGCATCCAGGCGACGATACGTTCAAGACCCAGACCAGCACCGGCGTGGGGTGGGGCGCCCAGCTCAAAGGCCATGAGGTAGTCCTCCATGCCCTCGTCAGACATGCCGTAGGCCAGCATGTTGGTGCGGAGCTCTTCGAGGTCGTGGATACGCTGGCCGCCCGAGCAGATCTCCTGGCCGCGGATGAAGATGTCGAACGAGCGAGTACGCGTGCGGTCCTCGGTGTCTCTGTGAGTGTAGAAGGGACGTGCGCTCGTGGGGAACTTGTCGAGCACGTAATAGTCGGTGCCGAACTTTTCGCGGACCAGCTGGCCAAGGCGGATCTCGTCGGGCGTGGAGAGATCCTCCTCTTCGACGTCCCTACCATCGTCACGCAGCATCTGGATGCCCTCGCGGAAGTCAAGGATGAGGGTCTCGTCGAGCCACTTGAACTCGCCACTGGGCCAGCGCTTCTGCAGCAGCTCTATCTCGGGCAGCGAGTAAACGGCCTCGAAGACGGCCTTCAGGAAGTCGTCGATGACGTAGATGACCTCGTGGTAGTCCTTCTCAATGGCCATCTCGATATCGAGGCCGGTGTACTCGGTGAGATGGCGGTGGGTGTTAGAGTTCTCGGCACGGAAGACGGGGCCAATCTCGAAGACGCGACGGAAGTCAGCCGAGACAGCCATCTGCTTAGACAGCTGGGGGCTCTGAGCAAGGAACGCGTTGCGACCGAAGTAGTTAACTTTGAAGACGGCAGCGCCCGTCTCGGTGGCAGCGGGCTGGAGCTTGGGTGAGTTGATCTCGACGAAGCCCTTGTCCTCGAGGGTATCACGGAACTTCCGGGCGACGAGGGAACGGACCCTGAAAAGAACCTGGTTCGAAGGGTGACGGAGATCGAGGATACGAGCGGACATGCGGTTGCGCAGCGACTCGGGAGGTTTGTAGTTGTTCCAGGGCGCATGTTGGGCAGCATTGACGAGATGGATGCTGCTGACGGACACCTCGATACCGGGGTGGGAGGCAGAGCGGACGGGCTCCGGGGGCTCCTTGAGAATGCCCCTGACCTGAACGAGGGACTCGGGGTGCAGCTTGTGCACCCACTTGATCATCTCCAGATCATCACGCGCGAGGACACCCTGTATGGAGTGGGTCTGGTCGCGCAGCAGCAGGAAGTCGAGGGCCTTGGAGAGCTGCCGCTGGGTATGGATGCGAGCGCGGAACTCGACCTCGGTACCAATGGGTACTTTATCGAGCTGGGAAATGGCCATGACCTCGCCGGGGTGGACGTGCAGTTCATTGCTGGCTCCGGTGCGACCGCTCTCCATGGAAGAGCGGCGGCTGGACATGACATCGACACTGGAACGGGCGGGGCTCTGGTGGCCGTTTCCCTTCAGGTCGAGCCCGCTGTCATTGATGCGGGCGAGAATCTTGCGATGATCCGGTAGGATGACGGGTACGCTGTTCGGGGCAGCGCTGCCAGCATCGGCAGCACCTTTGGCGCTCTCGGGCGAGGCGACTTCATGGCTACCGTTGCCAGAGGCTGTATTGTCGGAGGCTGAAGTGGTGGTAGTGGTCTCCGAGGGCGTCGGGGGCTGGTCGGCCGTCTTTGGTGTGGACACGTTACTGGGGTTTGCGAGTGGGCTGCCTGTCCTGCTGGCATCACCAGTTCCGGCCTTTCCGCTCACTTGGGAGTCGGATTCATTTGCGTCCTTTCTGGGTGTCTTGCTGGACGACCGCTTGGAGCCGCGACGGACGCCATTAAAGGCGGAGCTGATGAAGTTGGAAGGGCTAGGCATGTCTCTTGTCTATAGCGGTCTACCTGACACGCGATGGGGAGAGAGGGTATGAGAGGTGGTGTTATATGAAGAATTTTCCCCTCTCGTGTTGGTTTTGTTCTTGTTGTGAAAGCTGTGGCGGTTGTGGATGCGGTGTGGTGAAAGAGCCAGGGATTGGGGTAAAATTGAGGAGGCTAGCTGGCTAGCTGCTGCGGGGATGGCAGGATCTTCGGATGCGTCGGCTTGCACAACCTGCAGATGGGGGGCAAGCACAGACAGAGTCGGCTTTCCCGGATGAGGGAAGATTTTTGAAAGTGAGGAATCCTGTATCAACGGGTGATTTTAAAATAACATTGTCAGCGATTGGGAATTGACCAGTTATGGCTGTGACGTATTTTGAAAGAGAAGGATGGCGGGGTTTGGGGTTGTTTGGAGGGGTGCGGAAGGCTTACTTACAAGCAAAGGGCTCACTCGGGGGCAATACTCGGACTCGCAATATTATTGTGCTGTAGCCGTTGTTGTAGCCGTTGTCGTCTCAAAATCCGTACACCATTTTAGCCCATTGCGCAGGGCAGTCAAAGCAACGGAACAGGAGGGTGATGACGATGTGAAGCAGATGGAAAAGTGGGAGGAAAGAGAAGAAGAGAAGGCAAGGTCGGAGGCTGGTGGGGACGGAGCAGGGGAGGGGGATGAGGCAACAGACTTGGGGCAAGTACCGAGGAGGGGAAGGAGGCAACAGACTTACGGGGCAAGTGCGACGGTTGGTGGCCGGAAGCGGAAACTGAGTCGACTTGGCTACCATTACTCCGTAGATACTGGCAGTAACACCCGCTAGAGAAGGCTAGTAGCGGTCTAGATTACAGTAATCCGTAATCTGTACCGCGGCGTGAATTTAGACTGGTACCAGGGTATGGTCCATGGAGACCGTGGTCCATAGATAGCGCAGTGGATACTGCATGTAGCGATAACAGTCCGTAGTGTTCTATTATTAATTTACTATTATGGAGGTTACGCCCTATAGCCATGGTTCATATAGAGTTATTTACTGGACCGTAGTACGTATACTACCGCATTTAGTCGTACTGTAATATATGTACTCGTACTGTATGTAGTCTGCATGTATTGCTTGTAGGCAGCATCCAATACCAGACTCTTGGCTTTCCTTGGCCACTGGGGCCATTTGGGGGCCATTTGGGGGTCTCTTTGATCGCCTTGCCTTGAAACCCTCGACATCGCCACAGTCCCCAATGGCCGTTGCACATACCCCTGTGGCTTGACCTGGCCCTTCAACCACTGACCTGGTTCTGTCTGCAGTCTATGACAGCATGACAAATTTATCCCCCCAAGACGCACGCCATCGGTGACGATCTCTCCATCATTCTTGTCTATGAAGAGAGAGAGAGAGAATAGAAAAATTTTCCCTACGTCCCTATATTTAAGAATATTTGTCGATAGGGGGTATTGTCTGTATCTCTGTCTACATATAACAGACGAAGCTCATACTCCGTCATTGTGCAGCCACGGCCAAGTAGTCGAAGCGTCATGATGGGTGATGATGCTTCGTCCGACACACGATACACGATATGCCACAATAGCCATTAATCCACGAGAGTACTCGTATTCGAAGGCTCGAAATGAATACATGACGTGACGTGCAACGGCGCTGAGGTCGTCCTGCCCAGCTGCCCGATTGCCCAACTGCCCAACTGCCCGATTGATAATATATATTTTTCTCGATTCCTACTTCCGGGTAGCAGACGTCGACGGATGCGGTGTTGAAGCTTTCTACGTACCGAGCTGGCACTGCTCTGTATCAATACCATTGCCGGAGTAATCTCGATTTACTCCGTACTACTAACAGTCTAAAGCAATAAGGGTATTGCTTACTGCTACTGCTACCGTAGTACGATATATATTGAGGGAGTAGTAGTAGTAGCAGAATAATAGTAGTAAGTAGTAATAGCAGCAGCAGCAGCAGCAGCAGCAGCAGCAGCAATGGTGGTACTAAGTCTAGTCATGAGCATTTTCACCTCTGTCCTCTTATCTGTCTTTTTGTTCGTGCGAGAACATTCCATTCCAGGTACATCCAATGGGCGAATTCCATCCCACTCCTAGCCTCGCGAGAGTCGCCACCCACATAGACAACTAGCAGTAGCGGCAGTCATAAGCGCCAGGGGGGTCCTTGGCCTGGTAGGCTGTAGCATTGAGTGATTCGGACCTTTTGCTCTAGCTGCTTCTGACACAATGATTCTCAGGGCTCTCCCCTGCCTGTTCGCACAACGTACATGTGAGTATATTTCGCGCTTACTGCTATCACGACTAGGCTATCACTACTAGGCAGCATGTACTCGTACATGTGTCATGTAGTATCCACCCCCGATGCGTGCCGCTATTCCGAGCCTCCGTGGGGTCCCGCACTACCGGACCCGATATCCGTTCGTTCCCTCCTTCGTGGAGCAGCTGTGACGTGACCATACTCGTACAGAGATAATATCGGTACATGTACAGGCAACTGGCTGCCCCAGCGAAACCGCCCAGCTGAAACAATCATAGCGTGGTAGAATCCCCTTCCAAGCTCATCGTTCTGTCCATCTCCTTTCATCCATCTCTCCTGCCTTACCATTCCCGCCCATATCTTTTTTATCGTCATCTCCCCACTCTCTTTTCCTCTGTAATATCTCGTACCTGGATTATCGTATGATTTGGAGGGGAGACCCTACTATCGATAAACCCCTCCCACGGTCTCGCTCCCGAACGGTCATCAACCATTGGGTGACATCCCTTGTTGGTCCCTCATCTGCTCGTGCGCCCGGCCGTTGTGGCTGAGTCGGACTTAACTCGATATTGGGGGCGCGTCTTCCATCATCACCTAATCAATTACTCACCTCTCCCGTCTGACACCTATTTCCTCGTCATTATCTCTCTTTCTCTCTCCTCTACAATCTGTCGCCCTTATCCAACACGACGCCGTATACACATTCACGACGACCCTCTCATTCGTTACGAGACAGAGCCTCTCACCACCACACCGCACCAGCCTCCCACTCACATGGACCTTGAAGCCGCCACCACAAAAGGGGCAATGACGAGCCGGCCTACGACGCCCGAGGAACCAGGATACGTGAACCCCCTGGAAAAAAGTTCGCGGCGGTACCTGTCCGCGCGGGCCAACATCATCCGCCATGCCGCCAGCCTGGGAATGAGCATCGCGAACCGGACGTTTCCTCCCGCACCGTCACCGACACGAGATGTGTGGTTCGACTCGACGCTGTCGGAAAAGTTCAAGGGACCCGACGCCATCAAGGCCGAGGTCTGGATACCTCCGAAGCCGGCGCCCGCCGTTGTCGTGACGGACAGCGATGGGAATAGCAATAATGCAAACGGGAATGGGAGTGGCAGCGGAAGCGCAAGCGTAGGTGGAAGCGGCATACAACCGCGGTGCGCCATCATCAATTGCCACGGCGGAGGGTGGATACTGGGACAGGGCACCGATGATTCCCGCTGGGCAGGCCTGTTGATGACCTCGCTAGACGCCGTCGTCTTCACCGTCAACTACCGCTTAGCGCCGGCGCACCCCTTCCCGACGGCCGTGGAGGACTGCGTGGATGTGGCATGCCAGATTGCGCAGCGGGCGACCGAGTTCGGCATCGATCCCAATCGGATCATCCTGTCGGGCTTCTCGGCCGGCGGCACCAACTCGCTCACATCGTGGATTGTGATGCAGGAGCCCGAACGGTTCGGTTACACGCTGCCCTGCCCGCCGCCTACCGTCGTCGGCCTGGTCCTCTTTTACCCGGGCCTGGACTGGACCATGTCGCGGCCCACCAAGCGCAAGACCTGCTCTCGCCCCGACCTGACCCTCTCGCGGGGGCTGACGGACCTCATCGACGCCTCCTACATCTACCCACCCCTGCCGCGCGAGAAGCGCACCGACCTCCGCCTCTCCCCCGGCCTCATGCCCGACAGCCTTCTCCGCCGCCTGCCCCCCATTCACCTCTGCCTGTGTGAGTACGACATGCTCCTTGCCGAAGGCCTACGCTTTGCCAACCGCCTCAGCATCGACGGCCTGCCCATCCGGTGCCGCATCGTCGAGGGCGAGAAGCACGCCTGGGACAACCCGCCGCCCATGTCCCTCAAGCCCAGCGTCTGGGCAGAGTACGCCGCCGCTATTCAGTCTATCGCTGACTGGCTGGGCGTCAGCAACGACACGGACAAGGAGTCGCTCAAGTCGCTCAAGAAGAAGAGGCCTATACTAAAGAAACCTAGCCACATGTCCTTTCGATCTGTCAGGTCGGCTTTTAAATGACTCTCTATTCTCGTTTGCTCCAGAAAGAAGCCCGTAAAGGTTTAATTTGAGAGCAAGCAAAGACAGCAAGGGGAATCCATAGCGGATTTGTCTCTCCTTTTCCTTTTGGTTATGCTGAGGAAGAAGTATGGTCTGGTGTGGGTTGAATGGCCGCCTTCTTCTTCTTTTTTCCCTTCTTCTTTTCATCTTTCCCCTTTCCTTCCTTTTTTTAATACTTTCCTTCTATCTTTGGCGATGCATTGATGACTGAATGGGGTGATTGAGCATAATGGAGCAATTTTTCTACGTACGAGGATGTCGATAGAGAGAAGAGGGTATTGCAAAAGCACATAGAATACGATTACAATCCACGTCAATATTACAGATGACAAAGAAAATTCTATGACATATTAATATGCAACTGCAACGAGAATGGTCGTAGGGCAGTTCTATTCTCTGCCTAGAGGGGAGGGCGAAAGCTATAGGTCAAATCAAGCCACAAAGCGGTATCTCATTGCCAGCGCCAATAGTTGAATGGTTACAATATCTGCCTTCCATTATCACGGATAAGCAGAGGGTCCGCGTTCGATTCGCGGTTGGCGCATTTGATTTTCTTTTTTTGAACGTTTTCTGTCTCTTCTAGTTTTTTTTTTCGGTCCTGTCCCACCTCTTCCTATTGTGACTAATACTACTGCCCCTCCCTTCCCTTTTTTTTGAGGGGGGGGGGGGGAGGGACCACTACTTACTTTGGTGGTCGAACTTGTATCCATCACTAGTACACTACATGGCAAGTTTATCTACAAGAGGATACAACGCAATACGGAAATAGCAGCAAAGAAAGAGAGCAAGACAGACGAGACGTTGGATATTTGCTCAGAACAGAAGTGGCAGTTCGGAAAGGACAAAGAAACAATCGATGCGTCACTCGTTATTTCTTATTAAAAAGACTTAAGATATATCTGCTTTTATTCATGATTGGGGGGGGGGGGGGGTTGGATGGTTGACGTGAGAGTGGCGTCTATTTACCACTTGGCATCCTTGCTGGTGACGAAACCTTTGAGGATACCGACAATCTTCTCGAGGTCCAAGAGGTAGGACCTCAGCTCGGCCTTGACCTTTTCCTGGTCGTCACCGAGCTTGGCGTAGAAGTCAGCACGGTAGGGGCAGGCGCTCATGGCGGCGCTGAAGACAGGCTTGACGAGGAAGCTGTGGTGGGGCTTGAGGGTGGTGCCGTAGGCGGCGCGGAAGGAGTCGGCAAGCTCCTCGGACTCCTTGGCCACGTTGGAGCTTAGGCCGATGCAGGTGAACTCGAGACCACTACACATTGTCGGTCAGGACTCTCTTCTTCATCGGGTTCTTTTTTTCTTTTCTTTGGCTCTCTGGTTCTAGTATACTGTATACTGTATACTCCAGAAGGAGATCTGATCCAATGGTTCAAACCCCTCAATGGCAGACAAGCGAAGCGAGAAGACAAAGAAAACAACATACCGGACGAGCCAGAGGAGACCCTCTGTGGCAACGTGCTTCTTGGTGGCGAGCTCGTTCTTGACAAGATCCTGGATCGTGGTGGACTCGGCGGGGGCAGCGAGCTGACGCTCACGGAGTTTCTGCAGGCTGTTAGCCTCCCATGTTCTGTTCCCCATTGATCTCCGTCCGTATCTTCTTCTTCTCCCATTTTCCTTATCGGCTCGTCTAGTAGGAAGGCGGTGTGATGGGAACGACGAACCTTGACGTTGCCGAGGATGTCGTTCTTGACGGGGGAGAAGGCGACACCACCGAGGACGTCTGTGTCTGTTAGTCTTCTGAATTCCGTATAGCTTCCGCTGCTCGTCCATTGGGAAAGTATAGTGTGAAGTAGGATTTTACATACCAAAGATGGTGGTCAGCGACTCGGCAGCGTCGAGGAACTCGGTGGTGCCAATGGCGTTCTCCTTCTCAGCGTCCACGGGCACATCCTTGAAGGTGGCCTTGAAGGACTGGACAATGGTGCCGCCGGGGGGGAATGCGGGAGTCGACATTGTGTGTGTGTTTTCTTGTTGTTGGGAGATGAGGGAGTAGATGCAGGATGGATGGAGGGAGTCCGAGTAAGAGGAGAAGGAGGGGAGGGAGTGTTGGAGATGACTTTGTTGTTGGACGGTGGGGGGGATGGCAAGGAAGAGAGGGGCGGTCTGAGACCTGCCCCTCGCGGGTAGCGGAGAGGGATTCTGCTCCGTGCAGCGCGCTACTACGTGCCACGAGTCCCGTGCAGGCCACACCTACGTGCTCGTGTTGCTAGTACAGATTACGGCTACTTTCTTCACTCAGTAGGGGTCCACAATAGCTGTACCTTGCTGGTGCTGGTGCTTGGTGCTTGTTGTCAATATCTATTTACTCGTGATGGCCCTCCGCAAGCGATACAAGTTGTGGCACCCAATATTGTATATGACTAAGCAATCAGAGGCTGTTGCCACACCCACATCTGTAGATAACCTTATAGATAGATTTTCTTTTCCTTTCAATCAAGCTCAAGCAAGCACCAAGACACACACTCATCGACCCAGGACGTATCAATAGGCAGAAACTACTGTATTCACATCTACGGGTCATCGTGTGTTGCCGCTAGCAGGAAGCACAAAGTGAGGGGTCCAGGTTAGCAGATGTATATGTATGGAGCAATACATGTACATGCGACGGTGGATGGCGTTAGGTATTATTGACTCTCCGTATGCGTTCACCGCAATGTGCTGCCGCAACGATCTACCATAACGGTATGCCGTAACGGTGTACCGTAACACTACTCCGTTTCCGTATCTACGACACTTGACACTCGTATTACGTCGTCGGGTCTAATGGCTGTACCGTGTGGGTTGACATATATGACACAGTCATGTACGTACAGCAAAGACTCGACATTTGAAGGCTCCAATGATGATTACTACTATCATTGAATACGTGTCTCGAGTCTCTGGAGGGAGGCTGGGATGTTGGTTTCTTGTCGATTGAGCATACTATATTATATGTATGTACCTACGGCTTACAATTGTGCTGGAAGTCTGAGAGACAGCGGAGTGCTGAAGTACTCCGTGGTCCGTATTACACCGTGGGTATCTCCATGGATGACGTCATTAGTCCAAGACTTGCTGTTTCGTAGAAATGGACCAAAATGCTCTGCGCATGTACACGGAGTATACAGGTATGAATAGTAACATGCTACGGATCCTTTTATCTTTAGAAACGGATACCCATACGAGTGATGTATTAACTGCTACTTGTGATACTCCGTACTTCTTTAAATAGTAGCAGCAATACTCGTATATCGCTTGTATCTTGTAAAGCGTATCATTGCGAGTACTCTGTGTTCCATCCATCCATCCATCCATGCCACGCAGCCATGACAAATTTTTTTTCTCTCTGCGCTTCCGCTTGAACCAGGAAAGCCGCCAAAAATTAAGCGTCCTTCATTCATCAATCCCATTTACGTTACGCGGCCCCTCCACCCCTTCCAATATGTAGCAGGCCCTCCACGGTTATAGCCTGATGGCCTAAGACAAAAGTACTCAATTGGGAAGCGTATGAAGGGGCTCAAGTCGTAGCATAACATTGAACCTATGGCAGGGCCTCATAGCAGGGCCCCCATGGCAGGGCCTATGACATGGCGTCACGGCTTCAGCGGCCCCCGCGCGGCTCATCGCCAGCTGAGCTTGCTTGCTCTTTTCCCCGCTGCTAGTCAGTCAGATGTAGCATGGCCAGGCTGGGTCTTCTTGGCTACAGTTCTTGGCTAGACAGCTGTTTTCGGTATCAGCTAGTGCTCACTTTTGCTTTTGCCTTGGTGCGAGCGACAACAGCTGATAATAATCCGTAACTGATCGTCGGACCATAAAACTATCGAGGTCCCCTCCCCCCCCGCGATCTTCCGCAGGACCCTCAGCCCCGCGTCTCTGTAACAAGACACACTCCTCACCTCCCCTACTGTCCCATATCAAAGAGAACGAGAACGAGAGAGACATAGGGAAAAAATCATTGCCAACAACTGCATTTTTAACCAGACACGCCATCGATTACCATCTATATCTACTATTCGCCCCGTCTTTTTTCTAGGGCTTTTTTTCTGAACACCACTTTCATAAATCTGTGCAGTCATGGGTGGCAGTGACAATGCCAGCGGTGGTGGAGGGGGAGGATTCATGAGCGACCTCAAGGACAGGTTCAGTGCAGCCTCTCTTCACGATGCCAAGGTGGCTGTAGAGCACAGGAAGTATGCTCATCCTTTTTCATGGTAATTGATATTCATGTCCGGCATCGACTGACGGGTCTACAGAAACCAGATTGGAAAGCTGGGCAACTTGGTAAGAAATACACGCACAACCCCTCCCGCCCTCCATACCCCCGCGCACTTACTGACACGTACCCTCCCATCTATGCAGTTCAACGCCAACCACCGGCACGATGAAGAGCACGAGAAGTTGACCGACGAGAAGCGCGACAAGATCCGCAATGAGCATCGCTTCCAATCGTACTTCCCCGAGCGTGAGGGCAACCTGGTCAAGTGGTACGTTGATGGCCGCGACTACTTCTGGGCCGTGTCGGTGGCCCTGGAGCAGGCCACAGAGAGCATCTACTTGACGGACTGGTGGTTGTCCCCCGAGCTGTTCCTCCGACGACCCCCGCACCAGACCCAAGAGTACCGCCTGGACCAGGTGCTCAAAAGGAAGGCCGAGGCTGGCGTCAAGATCTACGTGTCCGTGTACAAAGAGGTCGAGGCCGCCGTCACCTGCAACTCTGCCCACACCAAGCATGCTCTCGATGCCCTGTGCCCGAAGGGCACGCCGGGGCACGGCAACATCAGGGTGACGCGCCATCCGGACCACAATCCCTTTGAGAACGCCGCCGACTCTACCATGTACTGGGCTCACCACGAAAAGTTCATCGTCATCGACTATGCGCTCGCCTTCATCGGAGGCCTGGATCTGTGCTTCGGTCGCTGGGACGTCCAGCAGCACCCCCTATCCGACGTGCACCCCGAGGGGGCGAGCAACGAGATCTGGCCGGGCCAGGACTTCAACAACAACCGCGTGCTCGACTTCCAGCGCGTGGAGCAGTGGGCCGACAATGAGCTCAGCAAGGCCGACTACGGCCGCATGCCGTGGCACGACGTGGCCATGGGCGTCATCGGCCCGGCCGTCTACGACATCGCCGAGCACTTTGTCCTGCGCTGGAACTTTGTCAAGCGTGACAAGTACAAGCGCGACGAGCGCTACGACTGGATCATGCTCGAGGACCGCCTCGGCAAGGACGAGGACCTCGTCGGCGTCCAGCGCCCCAAGCACCCGGTCGGCGAGTACCTGCAGCACCCGCTCACGCCGCTCAGCACCAAGAGGCTCGACAACCGCGGCACCGTCAAGGCGCAGATCGTCCGCTCCAGCGCCGACTGGTCTAGCGGCATCCTGACGGACCACTCCATCCAGAACGCCTACTGCGAGGTGATCCGCAACGCCAAGCACTATGTCTACATTGAGAACCAGTTCTTCATCACGGCCACGGGAAAGGACCAGGCGCCCATCCACAACACCATCGGCGCAGCCATGGTGGACGCCGTGCTCGCGGCGGCCAAGGACGACCGCAAGTTCCGCATCATCGTCCTGATCCCGTCCATCCCCGGGTTCGCCGGCGACCTGCGCGACAACGCCGCGGCGGGTACGCGCGCCATCATGGACTACCAGTACAAGTCCATCTGCCGCGGGGAGAACAGCATCTTTGGCAAGATCTCGGCGGCCGGCGTGGACCCGACCAAGTACATCTTCTTCTTCAACCTGCGATCGTACGACCGCCTCAACAAGACGTCGGCACTGATCAAGGCGGAGAAGGAGGCGGGCATCAGCTACAAGCAGGTGCAGCGGGCCGAGGCCGAGGAGATCATGTCGTCAGGGCTGCACGACGACGGAAGCGGCTCTGGCGGGCTGCGCAACCGCTACCACGAGCACAAGAACAAGAGCAACAACAAGAAGACGCAGGAGCAGTTGGAGGAGGAAGCGCGCGAGGCCGAGGTGGCGCGGGCCAAGTTCAACGAGGCCATGGCAGAGAAGGAGGTCAACACGTCGGCGACGGTGGCCCACTACGCCATGCAGAACGAGGACGGCGCGCGGCTCCAGGATGAGGCGTGGGACGACAACGACCCGGACTCGGAGGTGATCAATTGGATCCAAGAGGAGCTGTACATCCACGACAAGTTGCTCATCGCCGACGACCGCATCGTCATCTGCGGTTCCAGCAACATCAACGACCGCTCCCAGCTCGGCTACCACGACAGCGAACTCAGCATCGTTATGGAGGACACGCGCGTCCTGCCCAGCGTCATGAACGGCGTCGAGTACGAGGCCGGCTACCACGCTGCCACTCTGCGACGCCACCTCTGGCGCGAGCACCTCGGCCTCCTGCCCGCCCAGCCGTTTGGCGCCGAGGACGACAAGAATGCCCAACCGCCCTCTGTGGAGCCCGACAACGACATCCGCGACCACGAGGAAGGCTACAAGATTGTCGAGGATCCTCTCGACGAGGAACTCTGGAAAAGGTGGACCGGGCAGGCCGACACTAACACCAAGATGTTTCGGCACTTGTTCCACGCCGATCCTGATGATAGCAGTATGTTTTCCCCGTCTTCTTTCTCTCCACTCCCTTGCCATGATCCACCCCCCCCAAACTCTTTTTTTTTCTTTTTCCCCCTCCGCAGTTTCAGAAGATGGCACTCCCTGACACAAGAATAGTCAAAACTTTCGAGGATTACGACAGATATCTACCCCCCCGCGGCGTCAAGGCTGGCCACATCTTTGACCAGTTCATGCCTGCGTCCGACGTTCGCGAGAAGCTCTCCCAAATCAAGGGCCATCTCGTCTGGTTCCCCCTCGAGTTCCTCAAGGATGCTGAGATGGCAGAGTGGGGTCTCCAGGTTAATGCTATGACGGAGAGTATCTACACTTAGGTTGTTAGAAGTCTACGGGTTGCATGACACCGCTTAAGGTTGTATATATGAGAGAATCTTTTTGATAGGGGATGTTCTGGATAGTTCTTTAATGCATTATGGATGCTATCTGTCTTTCCCTCTCTGGAAGATGAGTGCTGTGACGACCACACCAACTACTAAGTAAGGGAAGGGGCTATCAAACATCTAACGGCTGTGGTCAACGTGTACGTGATAGGCTATACTCTTCTTCTTCTAGAATCCTTGATGCCAGTCAATGGCTACCTGTCCGTATTCATACGGCTAAGAGAGTGTGTTTCCAGACTCGGCATATCAGCTGGCAGATCCAGATCAACTGGGGACAAGGAGCGCTGTACCTAGAGATGCTTGATGCGAGAGTGGAGAGTGTGAGACATTCATATATCCTGATGTATAGAGACAGGTTAATCCAGCAAGCCTATACTGAATACTCACATGGGAGATTTACTCGTCGTTGATGTATGCACTATATCGGTCTGTGAGATAACGAGTCTAGGAGACAACGAGTCTGCTTGGGGAAGGGTGTAGTGAGATAAGCAAAAAGGTCTCTTGGGTATAGAGGCGAGGTAGAAGCGTTATGATAGTGATGAAGACGCCAGTGATTAGTGTGACAATATGTGTATTGATCGTTGCCCCCTTCCTTGACGGAATCGGGGCCAGCGACTATTACTTAGGTGATCTGTACTCCGTACCGCTTTCGGGATCCTTTCGTTCCGCTTCCGTAATATATTGATCTCCCCGACCTGCAATGGTTCCTGACACGGTACACCCATAGTCTGCAAATACTAAGCAGTTGGATATCCGCGGGACCTGGTTCTGGCTCTGGAGAGCTGCGGCCTCTATAAAAGCTCGCATCCATGCACATGTAGCGTACGACTATTATATGTACATTTCCCTCCCCCGTAAGGGCTTACTTATACAGTTCAAGGGGAACATATACCTCCGTACATGTAGACGGTTGCCAACACTCGAGAAGATCGATAAACCCTTGTATACGCATGTTATCAGCATAGGCTCGGAGACGTGACCCGGAATGGGGAGGTTGGGCATGGCACGGAGAACTTTTCACTGACAGGTTTATCAACCCCCGGTGAACGAGAGTTGTCGAATTACAGGCTGGCGGCTTCGAATGGTTCGGATAACGAGTATAATTTTTTTAATGACATTCGTCGGGGGTAAGAGACATGTCATATATGGATTCGCCATCTATAACCAAGAACATACAAGTACAAGGGTTTCATCCGTATATGTACATATAGTCGAGAATAAGAGGCAAGTATACAGTTACTAGGGGGAATAGTCAAGACTGAAGAAGTGAAACAGTCAACCTGCTCGTGCCCTTTTGCCTGAGTCAGTCCCGAAGTACTCGAAATGGTCGAGGCGAGCTGGAAGTTTTCGATTGTAATTACCATGTAATATAATACTCTGTAGTCGTGGAATACAAAGAAACATCTCCTACCTCCCATCGGCCCCCCCCCTTCCCAGCTGCCAGCAACCCCTGCACCATACAGATGTATTATCCTCGGACCCTTCTTTCACTCGCAAGTCCAGGAATATTCCGCATATGCTCCCCGAACGAGGGTGAAGGTGTTGGGCCAATCCATGGTCATCTCGGTAAGACTCTGGTGGAAATTTCGGTTTCCCATTTCCTTCTGTATCATGTCTTTGAAAGCGTATATATGCCGTCTTTTCGCAAGTCTAATATACATTTCTTCCACCCCCCCCTCTTCCATAGACTTTGCTGGTGCTACTCATGTGGTTTGTCTAGTCTCCGAAACTGTCAGGCAAACTGGGGGAACTGGTGCTGTGGTGTTTCCGTCTTATATATTCATCGATTCCATCATGGCAGCTGCACTCTCCCCAAGCGTCGACATTGGAAAGTTGAAGTCCGATGCTGAACCCATCCATCCAACCGGCCAGGGACTTATATACTCGTCATCATTTCCATCATGTTTGACGTCCTCGGTTTTGTCGCCGTCGTCGCCCACACCTCTTTCGATCCTGGCTACGGATGTCAGGGACGGAGGTCTCGGCCTGGGGATGAGATGATGTATTCGCAGGTCTCTCACTGGTGAGTTACTCGAGCTCTCCCTTCCTTCCTGCCTCATTCCGTCATGGCTCATTGCCTCTGTTTGAGGGGAACAGACACCCATTCGAAGTTTCCTGTGTGTTCGCTGTCCTAGGCCTCTCCTACGGTCTCTGAGGGCGTGATGCCAAGCTCACGGTCGACGCGGGCGGACAGCTAGGCTACGTGGCCTCGCCAGCCGAGCGGCCGAGTACGTAGCCTACTTCCAGATCTGCCACGCGCTGTGCGTGCCCCTGATCAAGACGTCCATCGCCGTGGCGCTGGTGCGCATCGCCGAAGCCAAGCGGTACCGGTTCCCGCTGTACTCTGTCATGCTCGCGTCGACGGTGCTCTGCTTCGCCGGATGGATCTCGCTCGTCTCGCTGTGCAACCCCACGGCCACCCTCTGGAACCCCCAGCTGGGCACGTGCGGCAACTACGAGATCATCACCAAGATCAGCTACGTCGTCTCCATCGTCACAATCGTCACCGACTGGACCTGCGCCATCATACCCTTCTTCGTGCTGCGCAAGCTGCAGGTGTCGATGCGCACAAAGTCCCTCCTGCTCTTCGTCCTGGGAATGGGCGTCTTAGCTAGCGTGGCCTCTGCCGTTCGCTACCCGTGGCTCAAGTATTACGACGTCACCACTGATGCTCTCTGTATGTTGACGCTTGGAATCCCCGCCACTCTGTCATCTCTTCCCGATTCTCGATTTTCCCCCTTTACCTTGGGAATGGATCTCTGACTGCTTCTTCTTAGGGTACACCTCCCACATCATCATCTGGTGCGTCGTCGAGGGCGGTCTCGACCTCCTCGCGGGCTCCCTCCCGTCGCTCCACAAGCTACGCACCATCATCATGAGGCGCAAGGGCACTCAGAACTCGCAGTCGGGTCTCTCCCAGTCCTTGAACGGGAGTGGCAACCGCGGAATCATCCTGGATCCGATCTCGAGGCCGGGAAAGCATGGACATGGGAACCACTCGACTTTTGCGGAGGGCGGCGAGTGGGATCGTCTCAGTGACGGCACCGCGAGCGGAAAGCTCATTATACAATCTCACAGTGTCCATGCCACTCGGGAGACGTCCGGTGAGCGTGCTGAGCCGTCATGGTTCAATTGATTCCATGCAATCACAGTGTTATTCTTGGCAAGGGCTGTATCGTCGAGTAGAGAAACACCTTGGTATAGGCTACGAGCACAGGTCATCATATCAAGCATCTTTCTATGTTTATCCATATTCTCAACTCGTCAACCTGCTACATACATGCTGCATACAATACTCCGGATACAAGCCATCGTATAGAACCCCCTACTCTAACTCTTGGAAATCCTCTTCAACTGCCGATGATGCATCAATCCAGATTGGCTCGACGAGTCCGTCTAAGCGCCGTACCTGTCGACCCCC